TAATTTTATTTCAGTTTTTAGTTAATATTATTTATAATACGGATTTATTTAATAGTGATAAACTTAGAACTTTCATATTATTTTCGGTAACAATTTTTCAAGTAAGAATGCCCTTCTGGGGAGCAAAGTGAACATGGAAGACGAAGAAGAAACTTCTAGCACTTCAAAAAAAGATGGACAGACAAATTTAGCTCCGAAAAGAAGAAGAGGTGAGTCAACCTTATATAACATTCCTATTAAAAATAGTTACTCGGTTTTCTCCGACGAGGAAGAAGATGAAGAGATCTCTGACCAAACTAATAAAAATCCTGAATTACAAAAATTTCCCCCAATAGTAGTTAATTCCTCTTTCTCAAATCACAAGGAAATAATTACAAAACTTAAACATTCAGTTAAAGATATAAATATCAAATACGGTGGAAATAAAACTATTTTTTATGTATATAATAATGAAGACTTCATAAACGTTAAAAATGAACTTAAATTACTCAATCATAATTTCCATACCTATACTCTTAAACATGAGATTAAGCCTAAAGTGGTATTAAAAGGCATACCCCCAGACTATCCTATCGAAGACATTCAGGCCGTTCTAAACAGACAAGGCTTAGAGATTTATAAAATGTTTCAAATGACTAAAAAACTAGATGGTGTTGAAAAAAAATTACCATTATCAATCATTATACTAAATAATAAAGAACAATTGGTAAAACTTAATCGCATAAAATATTGTGATAATGTTGTTATATCATGGGAAAAATATGTGAGCAAAAAAGTGTTGACACAATGTTATTTATGCCAAGAATATAACCACGTAGCTCGAAACTGCTTCAAAAAACCCCGTTGCCTGAAGTGCTCCGAGGAACACTTATCAAGAGACTGCCCTGATATCATACGCGAAGACTTCGTCCCGAAGTGCAGCAACTGCAATGAAAGTCATTTCTCAAATTACGAAAAATGCCCACACTTCATACGAAACCAGCAATTGAAGCTCAGTAAACAATGACCAACCATCCACCCTTCACAACGAAAAATATTCAAGCCAAGACAAAATGATTTTCCTTCCTTACCAAAAACAGACTCAAAATGGTTTCAAAAAACATTCTCAGACAATATTAATGGAAATAACCCTTCTTATAATGAACCATCTATTATTGAATGTTTTAAAGAAGTTAAAAATATTTTTAAACTTTTTAACTTAAATAAAATAATAAATAAATTTTAAAATATTGTTTCTGAAGTAAAATTGGCAGAAGACAGCATGTCAAAAATATTTATTGTAATAGAAGGGTTATTATCATTAATTGATTAACAGTCAAGAGTTTAAAATGCTTAAAATAGGATTAAGATGCTATTTATGTTATATTTTCTTATCTATTAGTTACAATCACATATTGTATACTTTAACTACAACATTCCTCTGTATACTCCTGACCTTAAAGTGAGTACAATCAAATGTAAATACACACCTACCATGAAAACAGTCAACACTTTCATATCGATTTCCGAACCTATGTATACTAAATTGCTATTGTATATATTAAGCAAAACATGTCTTAATACTCAAACAAAAACAATACTACACCTTATATATCGTAAACTAAATCATTCTGACGACTTATTAATATTCACGTATTTTTACCTATATGTTTTGTTTCTTCCGTTTATGTATTATTACTTTTTTTACTATTGCTTATATATCAGAGATTATGTAATATTTTTTTTTATTCATAATGAACAACAGTAGACGACATTTAAAATTAATGATGTGGAATGCCCAAACACTTCGCCGAAATGATATAGAATTCAAACAATTTCTACATCAAAATCAACCTCATATAGTATCAGGTATAAAAACTCGTTTATCTGCTCAAGACAGATTCTCGGCCCCTGGCTACACTGTTTACCGAAAGGACAGGAACAGAGCAGGCGGGGAGGAGGGGGGGGTTATGATACTGGTGCGTTCAGATCTACCGCACGTTTACAGGCCGATTGATAATTTAAAATACGCGGAAGCGACTGCAATTCAATTTAAGGTCAAAAACAAAATTATTAACATAGTTGCAGTTTATATCCCACCGAATAAAATAAATACACATGACCTTAGAGTTATGTTTAATATCGGTAAACACACTCATTTTCGGGGACTTAAATGCAAAAAATTTACAATGGAACTGCCATAATACAAATAAAAATGGAAAATTATTATTAAATTATATATCACGGAAAAATATAGAATTGCATGCTCCAAACGAGCCAACTTACATACCAACTCAGAAAAAATTCAAATCTAGCATTATTGATTTAGCCCTCACCAAAAATATTTCTGATGTTTCTCGGCTTATCTCGGTACCATGTCTCAGTTCGGATCATAACCCGGTGATCTTTCGATTGGAAAATAAAACCCTAAAAACCAGCACGATCCCAAAATTCAATTTCAAATTGGCTGATTGGGAAAAATTCCGGAAAATCGTAGATAAAAATCTAGATATTAATCCTGTTATAAGAAATAACTCCGATATAGATTTTAACATCGATACATTTATGGAGACTGTCAAAACTGGCATGATAAAATCAATTCCACAGGTATTCTGTCAATACAAATCCAACAACATACCTCCTCAACAACAATTTTTGATTTTTATAAAAAATAAATTCCGGAAAAAATACCAGCTCACCAGGAACATAAAGTATAAATGCCTCTTTAACAAATTAAATGCCTACGTAAAAATTCGTTTAAACAGTTGAAGGAACTTAAAGTGGCAGAAAACTCTTAGAGAACTGTCCCCTGGTAGTAAAAAATTTTGGAAAATACTCAAAATTCTAACAAATCGTCCCCACCATATCCCTCCAATCAAACTATCAAACAATTTCGCTTATTTTAATATAGAGAAGGCAGAAGCTATGGCAAACTATTTCACATTAGCATCTAATATTTCGCCTGATCTAGGCACCAACAACCACAATCGAACTATCATTAAATCCGTAAAAAGCTTTCTCAAAGAACCAGTTCCAAATACATTCCTTCAATCTCATTCAAAGAGGTGAAACAGGTTATAAAGCAGTTAAAAACTAAAAAATCGCCCGGTCCAGACTCATAACCTCCAATTGCCATTAAGAAATTAAGCAAAAAGGCTATTTTATTCCTAACAAAGACGTATAACTGTATGCTTCGCTTTAGATATTTTCCGACGGCTTGGAAAACAGCAAAAATCATAATGATTCCGAAGCCAAACAAAGATCCAGCAGATGTTCGTAGTTACAGACCAATAAGTCTACTTAACATAATTTCAAAACTTTTTGAAAAACTATTTTTAAAAAGAATCCTGAGCCATATATCTCAAAACAGTCTGATATCTAACGAGCAATTCGGGTTCAGAAAACAGCACTCAACAGTAGCCCAACTAGCCAGACTGACCGACTATATTACCAAAGCGTTCAATGAAAAGAAGCACATCAGTATGCTCCTCCTAGACACAGAAAAAGCTTTTGACACTGTATGGCACGAGGGTATTATCCATAAACTCATTTTATATAAATTCCCACCTTACATAATCCACCTGCTTCACTCATATCTCAACAATAGATCCTTTTGCATTAGAATAAAGAATGACCATTCCTCAATCCACTTCCTATCTGCAGGTCTCCCTCAAGGCTCCTGTCTTTCTCCTATACTATTCAGCCTATACATCTCAGACCTTCCTTCCATTCCTTCAATAGAATACTCCTTATATGCAGATGATACAGCTATTTACACCTCTTCTTTTAGAATCGATACTATAACTAACAGGTTACAATCCCAATTCATAAAACTCTGCAAGTATTTTGAAAAATGGAAAATAAAAATAAATGATCAAAAAACTGAAGCAATTATTTTTACAAAAAGAAGACCACGCATAAACCACAATATACACATAAAAGAAGTACAGATTCCTTGGTCCAGTTCCGTGAAATATTTAGGCCTAGAACTTGATAGATCCCTAAATTTTACTCAACATATCAACAACAAGTGCAATAAAGCAAAAAACATGATCAGCAAAATGTCACCATATTTTAATAGATATTCACAACTGAATAAAAAAAATAAACTAATTTTATATAAAACAGTAATCCGCCCTTTAATCACTTATTCTGTCCCAGTATGGAGTTACACATGCGAGACAAATTACAAAAAACTCGAAGTAATTCCAAATATGTGTATGAGAATCATAAACAATTATCCACGTTATGCTAAAGTATCTATTATGCTAGCAGAATTACAGCTTCCCACAGTAAAAAAATATATTTATTTTAAAACACAGAGATTTTTTGAGCTTACACCAACGTCTGAAAACCCTATTATCCGAACAATAGGAAACTATGACAAAACATCTTTGAAACGGTATACACACAGACGGACTAAACACATACTACTAGAGGACTAATTCAATCAGTTTATTTGTGAAAATTTAACGGTTTCTTATCAATCACCAAACAAGTAACAATAAACTCAATCACCCCAATCAACAAATTGTATTTATATGATGTGTGTGTATGTATATGTGCGGGTATGTGTGTGTGTGGATATATATATATATGTGGATATGTATATATATGTATGTGTGTATATATATATATGTGTTTTCCTTTTGCACATAAATTATATTTAGTTTTCTTGCACTTTTAATGATTGTAACATAATTTTTTTCCTTTATATCTTATGTAGGTTTTTATGAGATTTTTCCTACTGTAAAAAAAATTAATTTCAATTTTCTAAGTAGTATTCAAACCACTGTTATGTCAAGTGTAAGGTTACTACAACCTTAAAAACTTGTAACTTATCTGTATGACATGTTGTAATATATTAAAAAAAAAAAAAAAGATAAAATCTGATAAAATAAATGTTTCTTTAACTATTTCAGTTTAACTTGAAAAGTTTTTTTGTTCTTTAATAATTAGGATAATTATGACAAATTGGATAAGTTTTAGGGTGTTAATATAATGAGACTTAAAATATATTTAAAAAAATCATTTATTTTAAAAATATATAAAATCTAAAAAACAATAACACTGTAGTTTCCAAAACTTCTGTTACCTTTGAACAAGAGTTAGAAAAATGTAATATATTTCTATAATTTCTAGAACTCACCACAGACAGAACAAATAAATTTTAAAAGCCAAATAAAATAGTTTATTCAAGCCAGACAGCCAAATATTAATCAGTGATTTGTGTTAAAAGAGCGGTTCCCTTCATAATCCAATAGCTACCATCCTTATCCGTGGGCAACAAGACAGCGATTACAAAGTTAGTACTATGCCCTGTTGTCGACAGGACTCCAGCACGCACAGATGTTTTGTAAAGTGGGCACTCATATCTGTTTATTTTGCTAGGAGCCATCGAAATAGGCAGCAGGGTTAGTATTGGTAGTGGAGGGTTCAATTCGCCTACAAAATAACAAGCATTTAATAAATAACACAAAGTAGACAAACTCAATTTACAAATAAATAAGCTTAATGTTACATTAAAAAAAAATATTTAAAATAGCATTCAAGAGGAAATAAAAATGGCTGTTTTGCATATTCCTTCATCAGGACGACTTACATCTGAGTGACTCTTATACCCCTAAAGAGGTGACCCTGGCTTGGGCAGAAGGAACTGAACACAAATACAATGAACAAAAATAAGGTGATCAAGATGCTAAATAGTATTAGATGGGTTAACTGTACACCTCTACGTTTTAGATTCAAGGCTTTATGGGTAAAATAAATAAAAAAACATTCTACAAAATTCCAGCTTCTAAAAAAATTTATATACAACTTAAAAGAATGTGATGGTGAGAACAGATGTAAGTAAAGCTGCTTTATATTTGAGTAAAAAAATAATAAAATACTCTTAAACAACTCAAATACAAAAAAATCAACTACACACACATTTCCCTCCCCTCTATTATCACGAAAAAAGTCTTTGAATTATTATTTATTTTTATTTTTAATATCAATTCCTTTATCTATTATAATTATTTATCTAAAATATTGCTGAAGTACAAAACATGATAAAGATTAATCAAGATAATAAATGTACACTAATATGAAGGGGTAAGAATGACAATGGAGTAACCAAGTCAAGTTTGTTTTTGTTCAGAAAGTGAAGGATCACAAATACCTTGAAAAGGATCTGCAAGTAGCATAGCTTCTATGTCAAACCTAGCAGCATCCAAAAAAAGTCCATGAACGTGAATCCCATCAGTAGGTTCCTCAATATGCTGATAGGGTTCAGGTGTCTAAAAAAAAGTCATGCGTAAAATATTAAAAACTATTATGATTAAGATATATTAAAAACATCTAGGGAAAAAAAAGGCTTAAAATCATTTGATAATAAATAAAATATAAGCTGACGTAGCTTTTTTCCAAATGAACAAAACATGATACAATGCCAAATGTGTACAGAGTGTCCAGTGGAGGGAAAGAGCCATATTACCAAGTGACCTGTTCCTTCTGTGTGAAACAAATATCAGGAAGCCATTAGTTATTAAGAAAAAATATTATTCACTGAAATAGAGACCTTGATATTAGAGCAAATAGGGACAAGAGTCTCAAATAGTTAGATATAGTCCTATAGATAGGAATGTTGCCTATTAAGGTATAAAAACATAGCAGAACTTAGAGGTATGAAGAGAGAATGGCAGTAGTCCAAATTTTTGAGAGTTGTGCCTTTTACATCAGAGCATTTAACAAAAAGGAATACCAGAAATAAATTTTTTTAAATTCTTCATATACCCAATAATAACATATTCCTGATAAGAGTCACACTTGTGACTCTAATTACTTCAAAATTTGAAATTTTTCAAACTTCAGTTATGTTTTCCAACTTATATTTCTCGGAAATTAAACACATCTACTGACTACAAATTGTTTTTTCTGACAATCTAATCATATATAGGCTATTTTCATCGATTCCAAACATCTTATTAGTTCCCTTCTTTATTCTCTCCTACTTTACCTCAATAACTGCCTCACTCATTCATTCCTTATAGTAAAAAACCATGGAGCAACCTTTGATTAGAATGTTTCCTGGAATAACCATATCTTCCAGATTACTCGAAAATCCATAACTATACTAAAAACAACTCTTAAGATTTTGTGATTGTATTTCTTTAAAAATCAGACAGCTTCTTGTAACCTCCCTCGTTTTCCCCCACTTCCACTACAGTTCCTTGGTAAAGGCTGTTTGCACGGTGAAGACGAGACTGAGGAGACTTATGTATTTTTTTTTTCTTCCCTACCTTGCCTTTCAGGCTATACGGGATTTTCCTGGGCCGGGGGTGAGGGCAGGGAATTTAAAGTCCCCTCCGACACCGGGATGCGAACTCATACTTTACATCATCTCAAATCTGTGTTATCCGGTTGCCAGGCAACTCGCAGTGCTGTGCACACACTTTAGACCATTCGGCCACCCCGCCCCTGGAGACTTATGAACTGCTTCATAAAATACATCTTTGGGACTCCCAGATATTCTCATATTTCCTGCTGGTACACTAAGTTGAAGTGGCTTTTTCCTACTTCCCGACAACAATTCCTTCTCCGAGTTTGCCTTTTCCAAGTCCTCAGAACCAAAAAACCTCTCTACATCTTAGAACTCCCTACTTTATCTTCCTCTATTCACTCTCCTAATACCAGATCTATACCAATTGATATATATACTGTAACGTTCCTCTTTCCCTCCAAAATCAAACGAGCTTCTTTTTCAATATACCATTTATTTTAACATATAACATAAATTCTTAGGTTGGGTTCTGACAACTGAACACTCATTCAACATTAAGTAACTATAATTTACTAATTACTAAATACACTAATTATACATATAAAATTTATAATTGTTTTCAAAAACATTGATTGCCCCAGTCTAAACTTTGTGGCTCTATCCCTCTGTCAACATAAATGGCATTGTTAGCACTCACCTAAATGTTTACGCCTGTCAGTGAAATAATCTCTTCTTACTTACGAATGTTCCGTTTTCTGTACCACTTAATTAATTTTTGCTATGTTCTTTCTTCCAACACAAAATAATCTCCACTAGTGGCCTCTATCAACACTCGAACTGGCTAGTACTCCTTTTTCACCTTCTCAACTTGCTGGCTGGTCACGTTCTCTACTTGATGGCTCGTCACCTTCTCTCTTGGTGATCCGTCACATATTGTCCTGGCGGCTCATCACCTTCTCTGTTACATGAGGCTTGCTCCCCCACCATCCGCACGCACTTCCTCCCCGTAGTTCGTGCTGTTACCACTTTCGCGCCAATATTAAAATGCCCATGTAACGTTGACATTACAATATATATATATATATATATATCCTCCCATAAAACTATTTCCTTCAGCAAATCTTTTGTCATTCATACTATCTTCTTTTGGAACGCTTTATGTAGATCCATGTCATTCTCTTCCATGAATTCTTTCTAACAACTCCTGTTTCACCACCCATTTCATATGAGCCTTTCAGTTGATGGAATGATTAGTCCTGCGCATGCGCTAAGTTCATAAAAACCACCTGTTACTTTGTCTCTCACAAGTTATTAAATTACTACTGATTTAGTGAACTATAGTGTTTAAAAACAGTGATATTGAACAATTAACAATTCGTTCATCAAATGAACATAAACACGGTGAGTAATCATTTGTTTATCAAGTTTATTGAACAGTCCTAACAACAATAGATATAGCTGAACAGGTTATCTACCATTCTGTTATCTATCCCCACTTAGCCTATAGCCAGTACCTGGCTGACTGCTGAAGTGGGTGCACGTCAGTCGTCGCTCCACCAGTCTACATAATTGTTTTTTATATGTGCATCAAAATATTAAAATATTTTTTCAGTAAGATTTCATAAATGCGATATTATCACATGATAATGTCAAGCAAAGTCAAAAGATCGAGAAGCTTAGGTAATAATAGCTCTCAAAACTCTCCTATAAAACAAAGGCCAAGGCGTTCCAATAGAAAAACACCGCCATCAACACCTGATAGACTAACTGAAAATAATAATGATCCGCAACCTGGTTGTTCGACCCAAACAACAGATGAATCTCCATTTTTCACCCCCAACCCATACCAACTACTATCGTCAGAAGAAACAATGGAAGCAGCACCAACTCCCAGAGAACCAAAATCACCTCCGATATTTGTCAGAAATATTAAAAATTTTCCATTATTCTGCCAGCACCTCAATAAAATCATTGAAAACGGTAAATATGTATGCCACAGTAGAACCAATGACACCAAATTAATGCAGGATTCTCCGGAAACATATAGAAAAATTGTAAAATACTAATCAGAGTCAAAGGCTGAATTTCACACGTACCAGCTATACGAAGAGAGATCACTAAGAGTAGTAATAAGAGGCCTCCACCCTTCTACTCCACCCAATGAAATAAAAGCAGAATTGATGGCTTTAGGTTTCAATATCCGCCAAATCGCCAACGTCTATAAAGTAAATAAAGAGCAACCAGGTACAAGTAACAAAATAGCGTTACCACTATTTTTTGTAGACCTGGAAGGCACTCCAGGAGTAGAAAAAATTTATAATTTAACCTGTATGTACTATACCAGTATAGGGGTTGAAAAACCATACACAAAAAATGAAATAATACAATTCCATAATCGTCAATCTCATGGCCACACTAGTAGTTATTGTCACTGCTTACCTCGATGTGTGAAGTGCGGACAGCAACACAGATCTGAGGAATGCACCAAGTCTAGGCTAACTTCAGCTATGTGCGCACTATGCCATCTAAATCACACGGCAAACTACAAGGGAGGCCAAACTTAAAACCTTGAAGTCAAGAACACAGGCAGCACCTAGACAGGAAGAGACCTCAAGGACTCCCAGACCACCAAGGCAACCCACACGACGTGTGAACAACGAAGTCTCCTACGCTGAAGTGCTAGGAGAGATGGAACAGACCAATAAATCTCAGGCCCTCCCACAAACTCATGATCCACCACCCCAATATAAGAATACCGAAAAGTCCAGTCCTCATCAAATTTCCTACCAATTCCAATGACCTTACCACCCTCCTTACATCATTTCTCTCCTAGATCAAATCCCTCATCACCCAGCTCATCTCCCTACTTACAAACGTCATTGCTAATCTTATCCCACCGCCAAGAATTCCTTAAATGTCCTCAACAAAACCCCTTTTCATTCTCCTCTGGAATGGGAAGTGTTTGGAACCACATAAACCAACTAACTTTATTACTACAGGACAATAACATTGACATAGCCCTAATAACTGAGACCCGATTAACTAACATACGACAGTTCAACATACCTCTTTACAAGATTTACCGAACTGACCAACCTGATGGAACAGCAAATGGAGGTACTGCCGTCATCATCCATCTTCACTTTTATCCTTTACCAGTACATAATTTCCTACAAACCACAGCAGTATTAATCCAAACCTCCTGTCACAGTTGTCGCAGCATACTCTCCGCCTAAAATAACAGTACCTGCATCTAATTTCATTTCCTTTCTTAATTCCTTAGGACACCATTTCCTTATAGGTGCATACCTTAATGCTAAACATCAGCAATGGGGAGCTATCACGAATCACGAATTCTCGCGGCCGAACATTGTTTTCTGCACTTAATTCCCACAATAGCAACATCCTTTCCCCTGATACTCCTACATACTGGCCGATCGATCCTAACTGTAATCCTGACCTCCTTGACTTCTTCATTCACAAAGGTCTAGGGCCACTAAACTTCTCAGTTTTATGGCTCGATGACCTTTCCTCAGACCACAGTCCGGTAAGCCTAACCCTTTCCGCATTTCCTATCCCCTCCTTCATTCATCAGAGGCCCAGTCAACTGGAACCTTTTCTGCCAAACAATAATAGATGCAATAGACCTCAGAGTATCCCTAAAATCCCCTCAAGACCTAGATAATGCAGTGAGTTCCTTCACCACTTTGATCCAACAAGCAGTCTGGACTGCATCCTCACCACTCCCCAAAGAAACGCTAAAAAAAGAATCCTTTACCCCAAAACCTTACTGACCTCATTAAATCCAAACACCAATCTAGGACCCTCTGGCAAAGAACCAGGCATCCTGATGATCGGAAATTATACAACTATTATTCCAAACAGGTTAAAAAGAACTGGCTTCTTTTAGATCCCAATCCTACAATTCCTACCTTTCTTCCCTCTCCACCAAGGACAACTCCCTCTGGGAATTGACCAAAAAGATCCTTAAATACCACTCTATTTCCCATCCCCTCCGATGCGATGATGGAACCTGGGCTTCGTCAGATGAGACTAGAGCTGAAGTATTTGGCAAGCACCTATCCAACACATTCACTCCCCACCCTGAATTCCATCCCACCCACACTGCTAAAGTTAAAAAATTCCTTTCTTCTCCGATTCCTCTCTCCTTGCTTCCAAAAGGAGTGAACCCCTCTGAGGTCAAATTCCTTATAAACAACCTAAAACCCCGAAAATCTCCTGGACATGACCTCCTTACTTTCCAGATCCTTAGACAACTTCCCAAAAAAGCAATCATATTTCTCACATTCCTATACAACTGTATACTCCGTACAATTCATTTTCCTCTGATATGGAAACACTCCATAATCATCCTATTCCCTAAACCAGGTAAACCTGTCAACAATACCTCATCCTATAGATCAATAAGCCTGCTCCCGATCCTTTAAAAAATCCTTCTCAAACGTATCCTACCCATTCTCGAAACCCACAGTATCCCTTCCCATCAGTTTGGATTCCACTCAAGACATTCCACCATTCAACAAGGCCTTCGCGTTGTTGACCATATATCCTCTGCGCTTGAAAACAAGCAACATTGCACTAGTGCCTTTCTGGACGTAGCGCAAGCTTTCGACCGGGTGTGTCACGATGGCTTGCTTTTCCAGCTCAAAAGCCACTTACCCCAATCCTTGTACCTGGTCCTCAAACCCTACCTTTCAAGTCCGCTGCGGCACCAAATTCTCCAATTATTATCCAGTTGAGGCTGGTGTTCCACAAGGCAGTGTCTTAGGCCCAGTCCTCTACATTCTTTTCACAGCTGACATACCAACCCATCCTGATTCCTTTCTAGCAACATTTGCTGACAATACCGCCATCCTATCATCCCACGCAGACCCTGAAACAGCATCCCTAAACCTACAAAGACACATCTCCCTAATAGAGAAGTGGTACAATAATTGGTGCATCAAAATCAATGAATCAAAATGCAAGCAGATCACCTTTACCCTCCGACGCAGATCCTGTCCACCTATCCTTTTCAACTCAGTATCTCGTCCCATCTCAGACACAGTTCGGTATCTTGGATTCCTTTTAGACAAAAGACTAACATGGAACCCACATACCAGACTAAAAAGACAAGAACTTAACCGACAATTTGATCAGTTATAAAGACTACTTAACAGATAATCTAACCTCTCAATTGAAAACTATTAATATACCAGACCATACTGAAACCCATCTGGACCTACGGACTTGAACTGTGGGTGACAACTAAATTTTCGAACATCAAACGCATCCAATCCTTCCAGTCTAAAGTCCTTCGTACAATAGTAAATGCTCCTTATTATGTTCCAAACAAAACGGTACATCATGATCTTAACATCCCTTATGTCTTTGGCGTTATTCCATCCCGTTTCTCAAATGTTCATCAGAACCTAACCCATCATCCTAATCCCTTAACACAGTCCTTATCCAGTTCCAGTCATCCTTACAATCCTCCTCGAAGATTAAAAAGGCAGTGGCCTCGAGATCTTTTGTAAATACATCATTGGAGTCCTGGCAATGGCCAGCTTCTCCACTCAAGTCATGAGCGTATGTGGCTTTAGCGCCCTTTCTCAGTCTCCACTGGATCTTCATCTCAGTGATGCGGCTGAGAGAGAAGCGCTGGGATCTCTTAGTCTTGCCTTATCTTCCTCACGTGGGGGAAAGGGCACGACTTGGAGCTCCCTCGGCTGACTGTAAATATTGTAAATAAACACGAATGTTTTATTTATTTTTGTTTTGTTTCTTATTTCTTAGTTTTGTTATATCATATTATATTTCATCTGTTTTACTAAGGTTTCATTTTCTTATTTTTGTTATAATTTCTATTTATTTTTGTAATTGTATATATTGTACGAATGAGTTTCTTATATCTCAAATACTTAATGCCCTTGATTGAGGCAAAATGTATTTTTTCTCAATAAAAAAAAAAGAATGATTAACTCCAACTCAAACATTTTTGATTATTAATTTTAATGATATTTCTAATGAGAAAATGTATACATTATTTACAGTTCTGTATTTAAACACTTCAATCACCTACTCTGGAATCAACTTACTGTTTGTATAAATTTTCCAATTAGAAATATGTCTGAAATAACTACGCAAAAATGTATAAATTGGAGTTAGTCATTCTGTCAACTGAAATGCTCATATTCAATTTACCTGCTTCTGTATATTGAATGATTTAATTAACCATACAATAGCAATTGCAATTAACAGTTGATTAAGCATAATTTTATATTCTCTAAGCCCAGACCAATGTTAATAATTATGGAACTTTGTTAATATTCTTAGGGGCAATTTTTGCAAAATTGTCGGTTATTAAAATTCAAATCAAAAGTTATTAAATTTTTTGATCTGAAAAGTAGAAAGAAATTTAAAAATATTTTCAAATATATTTAGAAGAGTTGAAAATAATGTCATTTTTTTTAAAAAGACAGAAGCTGTCGGAATTCAATTTGCAGGACCGCCGTGGAATGAATATTAAATGAGAAAAGAAGATAATTGCACAATTTTTTTTCATTGATTTATGAAAAGAGAAAAAATATTTTAAAAAAAGTAACGGATAACAATAACTTCAGAGTTATAACATGAAAGACACATGATATAAGTAATTGGTAATGACGAAAGTCACAAATATTTACTTACGTCTTTTCCTGTTGATTGATGATACTGGTAAATATCTTCTTGAAATAAAGTAATTCTTTGAACGCTGAAATCAATTTTTAGCTCATCGATTGGAAAATCATACTTTCGAGAATAGGTTTGAAGGACACCAGTCATAAAACCTTGTGGGAAAAAGAATCCTGAAATCCAAAATGATGGCGGCGAACCAGATGTAACCCACATCTGAAACCAAACATGAAATAATATCATATTAGTAAAAAGCAATAATCATTTACTCCAATTTACAGCATACAAAGAATTAAAGCAACTTATTTAGAAATGGATCTGTATAATTGATTATTTAAAGTTTGTAAGCTTAATAAACTGCAAATCCTGATTATTTGTCATCCTCCTAAAACAACTTATATTTTTTTTTTCTGTTGGCATTGTAAACCATATAGGTCTTTTGACGCCTTCACAAGCCTGCTCCATCTCTGCCTGTCTTGAGTTATTTGTTTCCATTTATCTGCATGCAGCTCTATAGCATCTCTGTTGGTCCTATCTATCAATCTGCTTCTGGCCTTCCACATGGTGTTTTGCCTTCCATTGGGGCATTGATTGTTATATATACCTAGTTCAGCCATAAACACTGTTACAAAAGTTGAACTTTGTTTACATTCTTGGTTATTATTTAGATAATCCTTACCTCTATCAAGTTATTTTTTTTTACATGTCAGGATAATAATTCCAATTAGTTTGTATTTTTCTTTCGCTCAATTAACATGGAGTGGAGTGATATAGAAAACTGAATAGCTGTGATCGCCTTACATAAAGTTGGAAAATGTAGGTCAGAGATTTTCAACATTTTGAAACCTTTAGGTATCAGCCATATGTTTGTGTACCGCACTATAAAGAGACCCTATCTGCATGTGACAGACCTCGACTGCGCTGTACCCGCAATGTGAGAACGGCAAATGCAGTGAGAGCAGTGGTTGCTCGAATCAGAAGAAATCCCATTCGAAAACAACAAATCATATCTCAGGAAATGGGAATCTTTGTCATATCAATGTCTTGCATAATAAAAAGTGACCTTAGGAAGGGTGCATTTTGAAGAATGACAGAACAATTTAAAAAAAATTATAGTGGATAGATGCAAAGAGAACATTTTTACAATTGAAGAAAAATTTAATTGCCAAAATAATCGTGTATACACACACAGCTCTAAAGAAGCCCAGGAAGTCATTGGAAGAGTGGAATGACTCTTCCACTCTTCGTCAGTGATGCTTTGGTGGGGAGTTTGCTTTGATGGCACCACAAAGCTCCATTTTTGTGAAAAATAATTTAAAACAGCTGCTAACAAATATCAGAATGACATTTTAAAACCTGTTGTCAAGCCTCTAAATGACACTCTTCAGCTCACAAGGCCAGGTCAACTCAGCAGTGGGTGCAAAAGAACATTCCAGAGTTCATCTCTGCCTCAGATTGGCCCTCAGGAAGCCCGGATCTCATTCCACTAGATTATCGGCTTTGGGGCCAAACTGGAGAGGATGGTATGCCACAGAGCACACCTTAACTTGGAAAGCCTCAAACAATCTCTGGTCCGAGCAGTTGAGCCCTTTTCTCAAGAAGTGCTGTGTGCTGCTATTGATGACTGACCACTGAGATTAAATACCTGTGTCAAGGCAAAAGGGGGACATTTTGAGTAATTTATTTTTTGTTTTACTCTCAATAGATATAAATTTTAATTTCTAATAAAGTTTTTGAAAAAAATAATTTTTCTGTTGAAATCTATATATATATATATCTTTGTAAAAATATTTATGACAGGACTAAGTATATTGAATACTTGATGGTTGACCGTTATATATTTTAGAGGAGATGGTCAGGGGTGGCAGTCATAAAAAGACTAAAATAGTGGAAAAACTATTTTATTTAAAGCCAACGTTTTGACCCGACTTTGCATATCTTCTTCAGGGCTAGAACGAACAAGATACATGAAAATTACATACGAGGTGAATAAAGTTATTGAAATTATAAACAGTAAGTACATTGAAATATTAAAAACATTAAACTATATAAACAGAGTAAACTAAGTAACAAGGTCCTAAACTGAAGTAAATAAATAGTAACAATTGTTGTAGATCTACAATAATATACAATTGTTACCATTTATTTACTTCAGTTTAGGATCTTCTGACTTAAGTTTACTCTGTTTTTATATAGCTTATTGTTCTTAATATTTCTATATAGTTTCAATAAGTTTATTCATCTTGTTTATAATTTTTATCTAAATATTATGTGTATATATATATATATATATATATATATATATATATATATATATATATATATTATATATATATATATATATATATATATATATAGAAGATAAAGACCGGAGACTGGCGACATCAGCCTTAATACCATCTGGCAATGTAAACAAACATGCTAAATGTATATAAGGAGAATTAATGATCGAATAAAGCAGTGTTTATTCAGAAGCCGAGAGTGTTGCATCTCTATCCCTTTCCTTCTTTTTTTTTATTTTTGAAGTCCGACGACGCTTAACTGGTGCCGAAACCCGGGAAAACGTCAGGGAAGTAATTTTTTTTTTGCTAAGTATATTTTTTTTTGTTGGTGTGTTTGGCCATAAGGAAAAGGAGAGATGCCGACCGAGGGCTTAATTAGACCGGGAGTATTAAGCGCACCGGAAATTCCTCAACCTCAGGAAATTCCTCAGATCAACCAGGTACCCCAGATCACGCCTCAGGTACCTCAGATACCTCAAATTCCTCAGGTAGCACAGATCCCTCAGATCCAGGAGATCCCTCCCTTACCAAGGGACACGTTAGCAGAAGTGCACGCCAACGCCTTGGAATGGATGAAAATAAGAGCAACAACTACGCAGGACTTACGGAGGGCCATTGCGGACCTGGAACGCTTCGGAGGCGAGGTAGGTGAGCTCAACCATTTCTTGAAAGGCGGAGATCGCCTCATGTCAAAAATCGAGGTAAAGGTGGCGGAGGACCTGGTGAACCTAGGGGACGCAGAAGCACTATAAGCAGCTCTTGTGTGCCGAGTAAGGAGGAACGTCCTGAACCAGATTCAAGCGGACGAGGAGACTCCATGGCCGGTGATTAAGGAGCGGTTGAAGAAGGCTTTCGGAGGAGGTAGATGGACGCCGGAAGAGGATATCTTCCAAATGTTTAGGGAGCGGCGGTCCCAACGACAGACAAGGGGACAGTATGCGGGGGTACTCGTGGCGAAGTACAATCGCATAACCGAGAAGATGCGTGAAACGATGAGCGTGGGAGAGGTCGAAGCCAGGATGGAGTTCCTGTCGACAATATTGAAAGTCCAGCTGGCTAAGGAAACGGGGAAGAGGGACGGACTGCCCCGAGAGCGATCGTTCCTCGAATGCGCCCAGGAGATGATCGACCTAAGTGCAAGAGAGGAAGAGACACGGATGGACGTGGAGGAACCGGGATGGATCCGAGTGACGGATAGACGACCACGGACAGCCCCGACAGGTTGGAGGAAGAGGGACACAAGGCAACAGAGTGGAGAAAAGGCCATGATGGGGGAAAGAAGATCCGGACAGTCGTTGAGGTCGAGGAATGGTCCCCGGAGGGAAGAGAGAAAATGTCACGGGTGTGGGAAGCCGGGACATTTAGTAGCGCAGTGTCCGCGCACTAGATGCTTCGAGTGCGGGACCGAAGGGCACATAGCCAGACAGTGCCCATACATATTTCGCAGGAGGGAGAGACCTCAGGACGAACCAATGGAGGTGAATGTGCAGAAAATGAAAAGGCGAGCTAGGGTACAGCAGAGGGACGGATCTTCGGAGGAGGCAACCGAGGAGTCAGGAACTTCAGGAATGGAGACTGATGAACCAGGCAGCAGCGGAGGCGAAGGAGGCAGGTGCAGCCAACGGAGCGAGCAGCAACGAGCGGCGGCAGTAAGGAGGAAGCGGGGCGACATCTGAGGAGTGTGTCAGCAGAGAGGCGACCGCACAGCAACATGCAACAGTGTCCGAGGTAAGCCATGCTGGTTGCCAATTATTGAAGTAGATGGGGGAGTAAAGTGTCTTGTGGACACGGGTAGCTCGAGTACTATCATGACCAGAGGGGCGTTAGGAAAAGTGTGCGGGAGCGAGAGGGTACTCCGGATACAGAAATGCGACTGCCAGCTGATCACTCTGGGCGGGCCCTGTAGCGTAGAAGGGGAGGCGATAATTAGGCTTGACCGATGGGCAGGGAAAGAGGGTGAGCTAAGGGTGCATGTGGTTGAGAACATGACACGGGAATACCAAGTCATAGTAGGGTGCGATCTGTTAGGGCAGGTGGGGGCGAGCATCAGAAACCATAAGGGAGCCTGGAGTATTGGGCTGGGAAAGAGGAAGTTTGAATGTGTAGGGGTCGCGAGAGAAAGAAGGGTACGGATAGGAGCGGTGAACAGGGTAGAGGACTGGAGGAAGTCACTACAAACGGAGTTCAAAGATATTTTCTTCAGGGAAGGCAAGGTATTGGAGGTAACGGGGAGGACGGTGCATGAAATCCCACTGAAGCAAGATAGGGTAACCTACGTGAAGGAAAGGAGATACCCGCAGGCGCTGAGGCAGCATATTCGGGAGGAATTAGACAGCCTAAAGGAGCAAGGGATCATCGTCGATAGTACCTCACCATTTAATAGTCCCCTGTGGGCGGTGAAAAAGAAGGCAGTGCCGGGGGATAACAAGGAAAGATATAGGGTAGTAATAGACTATCGGAAATTGAATGACAATACTCTGGATGAGAAGTACCCGATCCTCAGATTCGAAGATATACTCGATAGGTTAAGTGGGGCAGTAGTATTTAGCACATTGGACCTCAAAGCGGGATATCACCAAATACGGATGCACCCAGAAGATCAATACAAAACGGCGTTTACGTTTGAAAGGGGGCATTATGAGTTCACCAGAATGCCGTTTGGTCTGAAGAACGCGCCCATAACGTTTCAACGTCTGATGGACGAGTTTTTGAGGGGTATTTATGACGCGGAAAGCCAAGTGTACATGGACGACCTGCTGATCTTCAGTAAAACGGAAGCCGAACACGTGGGGCATCTGAGATCAGTTTTCGAAAGGCTGCGGCAATTCGGACTGAAATTTTCGAGCGAGAAGTCCCTGCTGGGGCAAACGTGAATTAATTTTTTAGGCCACACTATCTCTAGCGAGGGGGTCAGACCGGATGCAGCAAAGGTGGAGGCAATCACACGGATGGCGGTACCACGGGACGTAAAAGGGATCCGGAGGCTTCTCGGGACGCTTAACTATTACCGGAGATTCGTGCCTGAGATGGCAGAGTATTTGGTGCCTATCAACAATTTGCTGAAGAAAGGCGCGAAGATTGCGGTGACACCGGAAATGGAGAACAATATCCGGAAATGCATGAGTAGGTTGCAGGCAGAGCCTGTATTGGCGTTCCCGGATTTTGAAAAGCAATTCAACATAACCACCGACGCGAGCGAATATGCGTTAGGGGCCGTTTTGTCTCAGGGAAGCAGTGAGGGGGAACGTCCGATAGCATACGCGAGCCGTCGGCTTACGGGTGCGGAATCAAGGTACAGCGCTTTGGAGAGGGAGCTACTCGCGATAGTGTGGGCTATCGACCATTTCAGGCCATACGTATTCGGTAGAAAGTTTCGAGTCCATACCAACCACAAACCCCTTCAGTGGGTAGGAAAACTCAAGGAAACCTCAGCTAGGGTCAGGAGATGGAAGGAGGTCCTTAGCCAATACAACATAGAGGTGGTGTATAAGCCGGGAAAGGAAAACGTGGTGGCAGACTGGCTCTCTAGGGCCATCATGATCAACGCGGTTGAAGAGGACAGGGGAGGACCATCGCGGGACGTGCGTCAATTCTTGAGTGAATGGACTCCCGATGGCGAAGGGGCAAATGATACCGCAGGTATAGAGGACAGGAGAGAGTCCCCAGAAGAGGAGAGCTCAGCGGAGGAAAGGGCAGCGGAGATGGACGAAATAGATGAGATCGTGAACGACAAACACCGTCAGGTGATTTGGAAGACACGAACAACCGGAATAATGAAAATCGATTTCAGAAGATATGGGAGGGGTAGGATCAGTGTCATTTGGTCGCAACCCGGGGTAAGCGAAGAGCAAATCTGTACGGCACTGAGGGACGCCTCGGAAGCGGGTAAAACGCACTATCTATACTATCTATAGCGAATGTGGAGGTTCGAGCGAATAGGTGTGGACAGGACATTCATCTGGTGCAAGTATGCGGTAGAGACGATACAAGACGAAGAGCAGCAGCAAGCAGTCACATTGGCATATCACCAGGGGAAAACCAACCACCGAGGCGTGAACGAGACGTTGCAGGCATTACGTCGAAAGTATTTCTGGTGGGGCATGAAGAGATCCATCCAGGAAATCATTGGGAAATGTGAGATATGCATGCGCACAAAATACAATCGACACCCCCCCCCCAGAGGAGTTCAGGAGGAGACACCTACAGGGAATATGCCGCTACAGGACCTCCAGATTGATACATTCACCTGGAAAGGGTTCAAGTGGGTCACGGTAATCGACATATTCAGCAAAGTGGCGATGGCACATCAAGTGATGGATAAGTCAGCCAATGCAGTTGCGGAAGCCCTACAAACCTGGGTGCAGTTCTATGGGGTCGCCGAGAGGATTACATCGGACGGTGGTAGGGAGTTCGACAATGCCGCGATTAGGGAGGAGGTGAAGCGATTGGAGATTGCGTGGCATTATAACACCCCGGGACATCCTAAAGGTAGAGGCGGTATCGAACGGTTGCACAGCACACTAAGCGACCACATCCGTGTATATCAGGGGGAAAAAGGGTTGGAGCCGGATGTGGCAATGAGGAAGGCGGTAACAGCCTATAACCACTCGATCCACTCCGTAACGGGATTTTCACCCATAGAAGTTCTATTTGGGATGCGCAGGCCAAGGCGGCATTATGGGGAAACTACGATTACCGAACCGTTAGTAGAGCAAATTCAGAGCAATAGGGTAGAGGTAGAGAAAACATGGGGAAAGGTAACGGCGAGAATTAAGCGGGAAAAGAAGAAGCGGGTGGAGAGGCAGAATGTGTAGGTACGCGACCAAATGGGGGAACTAAAGATCGGAACAATAGTTTGCCGAAGATTGGGAACCAACAGAGGGAAACAATTGCTACGGTACGAGGGTCCATTCAGAGTGGTTGCTATTAAGGAGCATAATCTGCTAACTATTGAAAGCGTTAATGAGCCCAGAAAGAGGAGAACCGTTCACATCGAAGAATTAAAGCTCCCAATGATAGAACCGGACCATAGACCAACGGATTCGTAGTATCCTCACCGCTGTATATAAAAAAATATGTTTTTTTTTGCCTGTCAAAACATAAAAATAGTGTAATTTTTTTTTATTATTTCATGTAAATAGAATTATAGCAATACTGTAGAGGAAATTGTATTTTTTTTTTTGTGTAGGTTATTAAGAGTTCTGTTCTTGGAATCAAGTGTTGTGTTTAGTTTCTGTGTTTTTTTTTATTGTTTTTCATTCCAGCTGAGTGGAAGTGAGTTTTAGTATCTTTTAAGGGTATACTGTAAGAACAATTGTAAAGTGTTAAGGCTGGTCATCGTTGGCTCCGATCTAGGATTATTTAAGTTTCCGAAAAGCCTGTTCGTAAACTGGTGGGGGGGAGATAAAGACCAGAGACTGGCGATATCAGCCTTAATACCATCTGGCAATGTAAACAAACATGCTAAATGTATATAAGGAGAATTACTGATCGAATAAAGCAGTGTTTATTCAGAAGCCGAGAGTGTTGCATCTCTATCCCTTTCCTTCTTTTTTTTTTATTTTTGAAGTCCGACCACGCTTAACTTATATATATATATATATATATTTTTTTAAAGGTCCAAGTTAAAAAATTAAAGATCATATGATACATGGGCCATTTAAACACTAAATGTGAGTATTGTGTTCTCAATATGAAACTTCAAATTATTGTTTTTCAGTTCATATTTTTTTTTTTTTAATCCATAAACAGTAATGTTTTGCATTAGACATTTTAGTTTTTAAAAAGCTGAAGTTTTAAGATAAAATAATGATAAATTTTATTGCTCAAAAGTACAAATCTTTATAGCAATGAGTTAACTAAAATAACTATTTAAACTTCTTAAATTAACATTTTAAACTTGCTTTAGAAATACATTCTCACTGATAATAAACATAAAATATATATGTGTGTATGTATAGACACATTTTCAGCAATGAATAATACAATAAATAAAATTTTTTCCCATTTTTATAACTTTCTTTTCAGTCATTCCTTCTCAGCCTAAGAATAAGTTCCTTAATTTAAAACAGACAGGATCACTGATACAGTTTATTGGAATTTTCTATGCTTTCTAATCTTAAGGTGACTTCAACACAATTTATAGATAGCTCTATGCTTCCTGAAACCTTTCTTCTAATGCCATTGATGATAGGGCCATAGCTAAGAGATGGAAAATTGTATTCTTACTTGTTTTGCACAGTGGGCAGCTCTCTCGTGGCTTGAAGGTGACGGATTTTTTGTCTAAGTAAATTCTTTGACCCCCTTTCCCATCAGTGTCTTCATGTTTAATAGGAGGTGTGATAGCACCAAAATAACTCAAATACCAATATATGGCAATGAATGAGTTGTTCAAGACAAGCTCTGTGTCTTTACTCAGGCAATGGTTTTGGACTTTCTCAATAATCAAATATAAATCTTCTTTTGATAGGATGGACTGGTTTTCACAAAAGTTTTAAGATGTTTTTCATAGGAACAAATTTTGTCTAACCTGGAAATTTAAACCTGTATGGCTGTCCCATTTTCAGTTTTTCATTAATTTTTATTACAGGAAATAAGCCTTTGATGTAGGAAACTTTATTTGAAGAAGATAAATTATTGATTAAAATTAATAAAATATGTTCTTAAAACACAGTTTGTGTGTGATTTTGACAACCAATTTTGAAAGTTCCAACATACAACCATAGAGTTACTGTACATACGTTCTAATTTTCATTTTCTAACTTGTTAGAAAACCATCATTTTACTGTTTTCTTTTTAAATTTCCTAAAATTAAAGTATATGTAGATCTTAAAAAAAAAGAAGAAAATTGTGAAATTATCTAAATAACTTATCATTTCTAAATTTAATTTTCTTGCCAGAAAAGATGATTATCTGATGAACTTTGTAGAATCACCACTCTGATTAGAGATAATTAATTTTAATTAAAACCACCTATTGTTATTTAATCTGGCTCTCTTCTTAAATGTATTCAACACATTACTAGCGCTTTCGCACATCATTAAATATAATGAACAATAAATAATATATTGATGTGGTAATAAATTTTTTAAATTGTATTTATCCCTACAATCCAAAATCCTTCGTAAAATGCTCAATGCTGCCTACTTTGTCACATTTTTTATTTATTTATTTACATCCCTGCCATGCCGGGTTTTAGGGGGTCCCTGGTATACGGGTTTTAGCAGCAGAGAGATGTTAAGCGTTTCCGCGTAACAACACACTGCTGCTAGAAAAACAATATTTATAGACTGGGTCTATATTTCGACTACATTTCTTCTAGGTTTGGTCACGGTCTTCTGATACTCTGTCCGGCGGCCTTCCAGGCGGTGCAGCTCCTCTTCTTCCCTACTTTGTCACAAATAAAATCATCCATAACGACCTTAATGTACCATATGTTTCCGATTTAGCTCAGATACCTATCCTTCCATAATAAACTCCTGAACCATCCGAACCCTCTTGTTTCCAACCTTGCTTCCCTTCTATTCCTGATAACCCTCCGAGGCATATGAAAAGAAGATGGCCTCGGGAAATAAAAATTGTATTTATTAATGTAAGTAATTAATCTGTCATGGTTGGTGAATTGCAAAGTGTTTTTGCAATGAGTAAATCTGTATACCTCCGATAGGAGTTAAGTTGCAAACTCACTTGGCTACTACCTTAAAACTAACCGAGGTGGGATGTACAGATTTATTATGGAATTAAGTGTTTGGGCTAATGGCTTCATGTAGAAGTCAATCAACATGAACCCATATTCAAGTCCTCGTGTAACGAGTCATCTGTCACACAGAAAGGTTCGTATTCAATTTTTTACGTAACTTTTGATTGAAAAGTTTGAATTTTGTGGATATTAGACTTTTTCGCAGTACCCCATTGTTTTATCCCATAATTAATTTGTAGATAGTAAGTTTGTAAGTTAAGGATAATTTGGAGCATCTGTAAAGTACCCCATTGTTTTATTCCATAATTAATTTGTAGATAGAAAGTTAGTTAAGGATAATTTGGAGCATTTGTCAAGTAGCCTCGACAACAGTCCAAATCGTTTGTTGAGTTGTTTACTTTTCAGTGTAGTATGATTTCTCCTCATGATACTAGCTAGAACTATTTTTCAGAATAAAGGTTCTCCAGGATAGTTTATATACCTGTATAAAATCGATTCTTAATTCCAGATCTCTTATCCAACTACCAAGAGTTTTTAAGGAAGGATAAGAACTTTTTCCCCACAATTTCGGTACCTAAAACAAAATTATTATATGTAATATTATATTTTTATCATGACTTTAAATCAATTGCTTGTATTTAAAGATATGATGACGTGATGGGCCACAGTCTTGTACTAATCACACGTCTCCACTTGAAATACTTTTACAAAAACTACAAATACAGAAGAAAAATTACAAACCATATTGCTCATAAATGCAGTATATACTTCTTCCAAAGAATCAGACATGACAACAAAACCCTTAATTGCTTTTTTTAAATCAATGATAGAAGAATGCATTGCTCTTAACATTTTATTAAAACGATCAACTTCCTGTATCAATACAGTAGTTAAAGATGGTACCCTCCCTTTTCTATCGAGCTGAAACATTTCAAAAAAAGTAGAAGTAACTTTAAAAACAGAAATATTTGGTTAAAAAAATAATAAAAAAAATTAAATAAATTTACCACAGTGTGATTGGGAAACATCTTATCAGTACTTATTTTTGTCATGATTCTATTTATAATATTATCTGCGAGTTCAAAAACAATATCATCACTTGATTGTCCTTCAACACCAGCGGACTGTTTGATTTGTACTTGCATGACAGTAGTTAGAATATGGCTTGTTTCCTTGGTCTAAAAAAATAAATTAAATAATAAATGAAACAAAAACAATAAAAAAAAAAATGACACATATACATAAGAGAAGAAATATCTTATATGTAATGAAAGGTTTTAATAAGGAGCTATCTTTTTAAGAGAAACCTCTAATTACGGAACGATGTTGAATGTAGCGGCACTGGAGTAAACAATTCTTTTGAAACCTGTTTATTAGATAGGGGTTACTGTTAGCTTTAGACAGGGGATATAGAAAAAGAAAATTACTCAAAAATTGTTATTAAGATCTCGCAACAATAGATATTTCTTCACTTAACCATAGTTTAATTATTGAATTTTTTTTAATAGGATAAGGTCATTATAATAGTCACTCCTCAATAGATGAAAATCTGTATACAGATGATGAGAGCATTGAACTAGATTCAATAATTGATAACCTTAGAGATGAAGAACACCCATAAGAGATGGTTTTATGAACCATCCTTAAAACCTGATATGAAAAACTAACAACCCATGAAATATTAGCATGAACACTTAATTGCCAGCTTTTTATAATAAGCTATTTAAATATCACTCCATAGATGAGCCCCAGCCCTAGGGTCTATCCAAAGCTACTAGTACTAATAATAGTTATAGAATTATAACAGAAAATATATTTTCTGCCTCCGTCAGACCTTAACATGGATCGTTATAGTTATGAGGGCAGTACCTTACGCTTCAAAAGAATGATTACTTACTAATAATAGTTAACAGATTTTAAAATTAGAATACTGACCTGAAATGCTATATTCGCATTCTCATGCATTCCAAATATTTCGGGCTCCTCGATCAATGGTAAATTTTCAATAAAATCTTGATAATTTAGCAAAATAAATATTGTTTCACTTTCTGGACAATAGTAAGTACCCGATTCTGAATATTTATAATCTAAAATGAAAATACAGTAATATAACAAATAGTAAGCTACAGCTGTGAATTTACAAATTTCCAGAACCAAGGCTTGACTTAGGTCAAAAACAGAAAAATAAGTGGACTGTTAAATGGTTTTTAAACTTTATGTTAATTTAGATGTAATCTAATTCATCACTTAGATTTTTTAATAATATTCAGTATTTATAATTATTTATTCTTTTTTTTTTTCATAAAACCATGAAAATTATTTTTCAAGTGCTATTCAATGTAAAATTATGTTACTGATTTAGATATAGAGTTTTTCGTATCATTTTCTTAAGTAAGAATCTCTTTATTAGCATTTAGAAAGTAAGCAGATTATAGACTAGAATCAAACTAGTCTTTGACACTATGTGAGTAAGAAGTATTAAGAATATCCACTTGGAGGTATTGCTATTAAAGTTCTTTAGATGTGGGGCAACAGATATTCTGTTATAATTCTTTCTTGAGAGATGGAATATTGTTAAGTCTGCTGCTCCGTTATGCTCAGCACCAATGTAAAAAGAGTCACCCTGGTAGACCTCTTGTCTTCATGATATCTAAGCAGCAGATCTAGATGAGGGCCAAGACACAAAACGTTTCTCAACAACTAAGGTGAACCCTAACAACTGCAAATGATTTCATCGATCTGTTGAACCTTAGACGACACAGAATAACACTTTCACATTAGTCAGTCCTATACACTTGTTAATAGATAAATTAATCAAGGTGAGAAGGTATGCCTTACAAATGTTCTCTGTGTAAATATAAAATATATAGGTTTGTACTGAATATTTACCTTTAAAATGACCTATTAGGATCATCAACCTTGCTCTATCCAGTCAGGCAAGGCAATTTTTATCATAATCAATGAGTTTAGCACATTTCCCAAATTTGATTAAATTATTTTTAACTGTGCATATCAATAAAGAATGTTTTCACTTACTGTGTTCAAAAATGATAGGAGAGAAAAATGTTTTAAGGATGGTCTTTAGAGTTCTCTGATCCCAAAAATCAGTAACCCTTCCTCCATATGTTATTTCACCTGAAAAGTGAAACAGGTTTAATACAATAGTTTTGTATGTAAGGAAAACAGAATAAAACAGAATTTTCAACAGATCTTTTCTCATAATTTTTGTGATTTCAAATTTAAACAAACTTATTCTGGTGTTTTCTTTTAGAATTTGATTCCATTACATAATATAATAAAATAATACCTGTAATGTATTGTAATGCATCCCATGGTACACGACCATTGGTTTCTTTTGGACTAAATAAATTGAGATTTAATAAAGCACATTCACGATCACTATCGCTGAATTCGTACATTATATTCCATCCTAAAGGTCCAAACTTTTTTCTTTCAAGAATGACGGCATGAAAGAAACAGATTCCAAATATCATTTTTCTCCATTTTGGTCCCAGAGCTAAAATTAATAAGAAATAAATATTTAGCTTATACCAGAAATAAAAGAAAAAGTAAAAATTTTGGTTACATGAACAGTTTTTACTTTCGCTACTAAGTAAGGTACAGAGGTGCCTATTATTCCCCAAGTTCAATGGGACATGAGCCATCCTCCCTCACCGAAAGTAGAGTTAGATAAATCATAAATCATATACAATTACACTTGCTGTGGTCTGTCCCATGTTTTGCTCCTAATTCTCTGTTTTGAAACTTTTCATTACAAAATTGCATAGCCCCGTTGAAATGTGCACCCCTCAAATATTCAAAACCCAGTCAAAATGTGCCCCCCTGAAAATTTTGATAGCGTAACTTTCGCCAATGAAACCCCCTTCTGGGCATTCCAGGTAACGTAGTGTATGAAGCAAATATATAAAAAAAAAAAACTTTTATTTGACGACACATATATTAATGAAATAATAAAAAAACACTTTAAGAAGATATGTACATATAAAACATCAAAATGAAATAATAAAAAAACACATTTAAAAGAACATATTTACATAGAAAACAAAAAATATAAAACATAAAATCTGTTTTATAAAAAGATAAAACATTCATCTGTTTCTCGACAAACTCCACCAAACATCCATTGCTGAGATAAAACTCTCCCCACATGATTTTTTCGTTTAGAAAAAAAGACTTTCGTCTACTTCAACCACTTTGCCAGGTCCTCCAATTTTTTTCTTGGCCTGTATAACATGTCATGGGCACAAACCTCTCTTAGACATTTGTTCCACATTACCATAGCTCCGTAGGCTAGTTTCAGCTGCTCTTTGCCCCACTTCATCGTTGTCAAGCTATAGGACCACCCATAAATCAATTTTAAAGGTGTTAAAAACGAAATCCTCGAGCCCTCCAACCATGTTCCTTTCCTTATTGAAAGTTTTGTGTCACAAGTCCTACGAAAGCATCTCCATTTGGCCTTCCTGGTTAACTTCATTCGATGACCTCGTTCACACAATTTCATGTCGGCTAGTACCCCAACATTTTTAAAATATTGAATTTCCTGTTCTTCTGAAGACGGTAAATCCCATATTCTAAGAAGATCCATAATAAACGAAAAAAAAAATGAAAAATATACACAAAGGGGCCACAAACTAAAAAAAATGAAAAATAAACACAAACAGGTCAAAAGTAAACAATTTAATAAGTGAACGTAATAAGGGAATAACTGAAAACTAAACAATGCAATAACTCAAAGGTTTGGCGGAATAAGAAGAGGGAGGTTATGTGACGTGACGTTAGATAAGATAGATAAGAAGTGAAGTTTCAGGATGGCCCACTAGACAAAAAGTACCCAATACTAATACACGTTTTAGAGCTAAAAATGTATTTAAAAATAATTTTGATGTGCTTGTCTCCTGTTTCTTAAAACCCGATTTAATGTGAAGAGGAATTCATTTTTAGTTTACTACTTGCAACATTATAAAAAAATATAAATAAAAAACAATTTCCTAGTCACATTTGTTATGCTCGGTGCCATTTGATAATGTTTTTATTAAATAAGTTTTAGGCCATAGGTCACCAATAAAATATGTTTTTATTTTTTATAACTTATGATTATTTCTTAAATTACAGCTTGATGTTACAAAAATGAAATGAAGAGAAAACAATAGAGTTATTTCTGTAAACATTTTAAAGTTATCTAGCTAATGGTTCCAATCTACTGACTATTGGACTAAAATAACAGTGATTAAAACAAAAATAAATAACATTTTTAAATATTTGTTTAGGTCTACATCATACAAAAGACCCTTTTCTCAACTTTAAAGAAAATCATATCCTATATCTTATCAAGGAACCTCAGTCAGTTCCCACACACTTTTGGTCTCCTGGTACGTAACTCTTATTAAACTGCAGGCTCCTTCTAGAGATACAACCAAACCTAGTCTAACCAGAGTGAAATGCTCGAGATTTATTCCATGGGTCCGACACAAAATAAGTTTCATCTGCACAGGCAACACTCTAACACAATCGCCATCAGCATCTAGTAACATGTCTGCTGTCTATACTTAACCAGAAAATATGTTTGTTATATTTTGTTATTTATTAATTGTTCACTTATGTCTCTATACTCGTGTCCTAAATCCCATGCAAAGTCTAAAGGTTTGTCTCTTTGCCTTCTTCTTTTCTAACTTACTCGATTTTTTTTTTTATTTCCATACCTGCTCTTCATCCACCAGTTACCTTTCCCATAATTGGCAGACAGAAATTACTATTCATATAAAATATCAAGAAAAAAAACTTTATATAACTGATTTGAACTGAACATTGAGAATAAAATCAACACAAAATGACTTTCACCTAGTCTAAAACATAAAATAATGAATATACTGTTGATGTCTACATAAGAAGCAACAAGCTAAGAAAGCAAAAAAATCAAACCATTTGACAAATGAAATAAAATCCTGGTTTACAAAAAAATTACTTACGATGGTCATTAAAAAAGTCTTCCTGAATTTCTGTAAATGCTCTTTTCAAATTAGCTCTAATACCTTTTGGTGGTTCATTAGTCACTTTTACAGAATTTTGTAAAACTGACACTGGAAAAGATCTTGAAGGCATTGAGCTCAAGAACAGTCGAAAGTCATTGTTCACTTCTGATGGGTTGTCTTGAATTTCTATAATAATTTTTTCCATGGTAAGCATCCATGAAGAAGCCAAATGACAATTCTGTAACATTATAACTGTTGATATTTAAATCATAAATGCATCTTTCAATATTAGGTTTAACAATAGCTTATTTTATTCTTTTAGTAAATATAGAAAAAGTCTATCAGTTGAGAATTAAACTGAAATACTGTGCATTAGTCAATATCATTGCATTGATATAATTAGATTAGCAGATTTATAGAACCGAATTACCTGCAGAAATATCCATTCACCACGACGTTTTCCCCTTTCTATCATTTTGTGTGCTATTGGTCCTTGCCCCTGACCCAAAGATATAGAATTGATCCTCTCCTTATTACCAGTTTCAGTTGCGAACCTCAAGAAAGCACTAACAGGATCAGAGCCAGTACTTAAAACAAATACTAGAGGGGTGATGTTGCTGGTGTCAGCGTACCTGTTAGAAACAAGTTATAATTAACGCTACAATTATTAAAAAAGTATGAGTAGCAGAATTGTATAACTTATCCACCATCTTTGGTCCGGAAGATACAGGAAAAGTGATTTAATGATTTCATCAATGCTTACCTGAGGAAAGTGCTTACCATCGCAACAAATACATAGAAATCATGTTTATGATAATTCAAAAGATAATATATGAATATTATTATTTAAAAATTAGTTCTTTTTAATAAACTTCAATACTACAGAAATAAACAATTTACTATGCCTAAAGTTCCAATTTAATTGCAATATGTCTTCAATTTACAGTCTTGACAAACTTTTTCATTGCTATCAATTTATTAATTATTTACGTCATGTCATACATCCAATTACAACATACTTCAAAGAATACTTACAAAATATGAAGACTAATCAAGGGACTCTCAACAAAGGCCTGTCCAAGCATCACTTTTACGTACTCTGTTACAGCAAAAATAACCTAAAGGGAAAAGATACATCATATCAATGATTTTCTAATGAAAAATAAATTACAAAATTAAATAACTATTTTATTAAAACTAATTGGAATTCAGAATAAGTTTCATAAACCCTGTAGTATAAATCATAAAAATACATAACCTCTAATATATTTTTAAATTTCTATTGAAAAAAATGTCATCAATAAGGCCTATAACTGATGAAATATTACTATTACTTTATCCAAGAACAAAAAGAACTCACATTAGTTTAGCCTCTAGAAAGCCTTTTTTAAATGTTTTAAACAAAAACAAATTACACTTCAATTTTAAGAAAATGTTGTCTAGTTTACTATGCTATCTTTTGAATGATCATCTAAATTAATAAATCCAAAACCTAAAAATTACCTGTTTTTCCTTCCTTTAAAATTTCCTGCAGCCTCGAGGATGCAGGTTCACTACCTCTGCCATATATAATAAATATTTTAATTATTAAAAAAAAAATAAAGAGAGGGAGTACAGTTTCAAGGCCAATGGTTATGCAAGTATGAGGTTTTTTCCAATTAAAGATGCTCATTTTATAAAGGCTGTGTCCCCCAGATCAAATGTCTCTAGTTTCAATTCCGGTCGGACACAATAAAATATAATTACATAAATAATTATCAGTCACAACCGGACTCAGGAGAATAGGAGCTCAATGCATTACTCATTGAGCTATCTTTTTAGATGTGTAGTTGACAAATAATTTATTGTATATAAATACATAATTGAAAAGAGAGAAACTTAATGGAAATACTTTGATAGCAACATTTGAATATTCTAGAAAAGTTGTGATGTAGCACAAAGGTCTCCAAACTTTCAATGCATCACACATCAAGCCCTCCACTAATTCCTACGGGATGCATTAAGACCTCAACCAAAGTCCCGCAGACCAAGGTTTTCAATAAAAAGAAAAATTATTGTCCTATAAATGACACTTCAGTTAAGAAATAAGCTTTCTAAGAAAAAAAAAATGCAACAAATGTTGTGTAACCTCTTGTGAGAGTAATTTGCTAAATTTCATAGTTTTTAGAATTTTACCATGCAATCAAAGAAACTTTTGCAGGCCGGATTGGAGGTACTTGGATGCAGAATATTGACTTATTGAAATAAATTTTATCAGATATCTGCAGTAGTAAACATGATTTTGATTTATGTAAAACTGCAAAAATTGATATGCTTATTGGTTGTCATTATGCAATATTAAGACAGTTATTTGTATAATTAGTTGTTAAACACATCTTTCTTTTGATTATTTGTTCTCGTAGTTAAACGTTACAATTATAAATATAAATATAATACCTTTTCTTCCTTTAAAGCTTTCAAAACTAGCAGTTTGTTAAACAAATCCAATTTATCATTCCAATCTATTTTAGAGTGTTTACTACCTGGTCCACCATGAGAGATATCCTAAAACCATCAGATTTATCAAGATAAAATTTAAAAGTATTAAAAAGAAAGCAATATTATTACGTAGTGGAATTAAATTCACCAGAGAAAAGTTGCCTATTTCAACATGTACTATTTCAGAGACACACAAACTGAAGTCATTGAAAGCTGGGTCCAACTCTTCTAGGAATAAACAACATCGCCAGTTCATATCTGTCAGGCTAGGTAAATCAGGTTTAGGTTTTGTAAACTAAAATAAACAAATATATTGGTATTGATAATGAATACTAAAATAAAATGAAAATTTTATTTTTGAAAAACTTTATACCTTAGTGGTTCCAACAGGACCTCTTAATAAAAAGTACCAATGAGATTCCTTAATGACTTGAGCCTTCAAAAGAATACAAGCACATAGCATAAAACTATAAACCAATTTATCTTTTTCAAATAAACCGCGGGAAACATTATTGTAAATAGCTACTGTAATTTCGTTCATTAATGAATTCAATCTTTCTTCTAGGGTAGGAGATGGAGGTGTTGTTTCAATAATATTATTAAAAATCTGAAAAATATATATTTGAATAAATAATACATGAATATGGAGAAAAAAGAAATCATAATATTATACTATTGATGCTTCCTCTATCTTTCTCTACACCACTTTATTTGGAGGTATTAAGTCCTTGAAACTAAACTAAGATGATATTAGTATTATTATGGGAGATTTAATATTTCTAAACTGACAAGTTTAATTAAGTGCAATATGTATAATATATAATTAACAAACAAATAACTTTAAAAATCTTTAAAAAAAATTTAAACATCTTTAAACATAAGAGTGAAGAGCAGGGGTTCTCAAATTGGGTGCCGTAAATGTATGCCAGGGTTTCCACAGCAATAATATCTAATATCAAAATTATTAATTTAGTAAATAAGTAAAATTCATACATTAATAGTGATTAATAACATATCTCTACTATATAAACAATTTTTTAGTGAACATGTCATATTTTATTTTACATATACAAAGTGAGATAGGCCGTTACGAAGACACCACACTTCTAATTCCCAGAATTATTTCTTCCTTATTATGGTTACAAATTAGCAATAATAATAATATAAATTGGCAAAATATATAATATATATTTTTAAATAAGTTAAAAAATTGTCCAAACTGTGGTTTCGTTCAATTTATTTCATATTGATAAAAAATAATACAATCTGAACTACAGAATAAATATAAATTACAGTTATACAATTTGAGCAACGGGTAGTACAATTAAATGAACAGTTGTATAATTTATAAAATGGAGGTAGGTCCACCATTAGGCAGACAGAGGGTACCCTCCCTCCCCTACTGATTAAAATTAAAATCTATTACAAATTAAAATAAAACATTAAGGTATAAAACATCACAATTCCTAAAAATGTCATCAAATTTAATTAATGGCAGTCGGTGTTATGGCCGTTACATGAAGTTAACTACTGAAAGGCATACACTTAAAAAAATTATAAAACCTTAATTTCCTTATGTTCACTGCCTACTACATTTCAAAGCCATTATTTATATTATTAACAATTAGGTATATTGATTTTAATTGCATAAATAGAATTTTATACAATTGATACCAAACCGTTTGTACACTATTTCTCAAATTTCTTCCAACTTTGAGTCAAACCAATAACTATAAGTGTATAAACTATTTTGTAAATATAAGTGTATCAAGGAAATTAAATGTGTGCATCCATAAGCAAAAGTAATCGATGGATACCTTTGGTAGTGTGAAAGTAAAACATAAAAATAAAATATAAAAGTTTAAAAAAAGTAAAAAAAAGAGAATTTACCATTTTAAAGTACTTTAGTGAATATTGGTACATTGGATCAATTTCAGCTAATACAGCGACAACAAAATATAAAACAGAACCTCTTTCGGCAACCAATCTGTAACCTTCACGGGCAATAGTTATCTTTGCTTCAGTTTCTTCCGTTTCCTCTAAACGTGCTGTTATCACAGCAGAAGTTTCCTTAAAAGAATTATATTTATTATAAGTAGGGGATCCAGCAAATAAAAAGTAATTGGCACATTGTAGTTTATTATTTCATTTGTACTACTTTCTTTATTATTAATTAAGTATGTATTACAATAATAATCTATAAGTAAATAATTAAAGACAGAAACAACTAACTAACAAATCAGTGCAGATAATGAAAAGGATGACTATAAAACATATCAAAGTGTTAAAAAAAATAATTCAAAAAAGTATACTAGACTAGGTAACAGGCTAAATTATGTAATTATTAAAGAAGGGTTTGCTTTCTTTGGAAGTAACTTTCTGACCTTAAGTTCTAGCTAATAAGGTTCTTCCTTAATAATCCATGGTACAGGTCCCTTTTTATCAAATTATTAATATCCGCCTGAAACTTTGTCAATAGCTTCATCTCATTGTAACCTACAAATATTTTATATAAAAAAATTATTAGAATTGGCGTGTTTTCAATCTGGAGGTCAGCAAACTTTGTCTATTTAACTAAAAACTCGTAAATACCCAATTGCTTTCCACTTGGATCATAAAATAATTTGATCATAAAATCAATAAAAAAGATGGCATACAAAAATATTGGGCCATTTGGCCTATAATACCTCATTAGTTTGACACGCCAAACGGCACACTATTTGAAGGCCATTTTTTTTCTCGACTTTCTGCTCAAGCTATCTTTCGATTCAAATGGAAAACAAATGGATATATTTACGAGTTTTTAGTACCTAATTAAATAGACAAAGTTTGCCGACATCAAGATTGAAAACGTCCCAATTCTGAAAATTTTCATAAATAAAATATTTGTTGATCACAATGAGATGAAACTATTAACAAAGTTTCAGCTGGATATTAATAATTTGATAAAAAGAACCACCGACTATAAATTGTTTGCCTTTTCTTATTGTCTTATCTGATTTGTATTTTCTAAGTTGATTTGAAAAAATTACAAGTTGTTATATCAGACAAAATTTATAACAGATATAAAATGTACTCACCCGTAAGGAATAAAAAAAAAAAAAAATAGTACATATCAGTCTAGGTTGAATTCGGATTGATGATAAGTGGAAGGAGTGCTAAGATGTTTTATACATCCATAATATTGCCTTTGAGAACTGATATTTACACAGAAAACTAAAAATCAAACTTGAAGACAACTGACACAACACATTGTTTAACGCATCCACCAAATAGATAAGAAAGCAAGATTTAAGTGGGCTCTACTCTAGACAGGGATAAAGAAATTAGAAATAGAAGGGAGAAAAAATAATAATAGAGGAAATGAGATACAGCAGCAAGCTGCAAAAAAGTGCTAGTTGAAATCACTAGTTTATTCGTGTGGGATGGCTTTAAGATGGTTGAAGTTCTCTTACCAAAGAATTTTTTTTGTTTACCAATTATTTTTTTGAAAAATTATAAATGAGAAAGAGTTACGATTGATCTTGCGTTTTTATAATGGAAGGTACCTCTTTTATTGATAATTATTTTTTTTTTATTAAAACATAAATTTTCAAGGGTGTATATAATTAATAAAATTTATAATTTCGAGGAAAATTTCTTTATTTCAACCTTACACCTCTTACTCTACTCCATACTTTAATTCATTTTAATTTTCTTGACAACAAGAATTTCAGGCAATTTTGTCCATTTTCAAGCCAAAATATTTATTTCATTATTATATAATCCATCTAATAATATTTTTTATATAATTATTGTAACATTTATCATAATTGTCAAAAAATTAAACATTATTTTAAATTTATATCAAAAGTTACACATTTTCATCCTTTTTATACAACATTATGTCCACTATTAAAAGGATGAAAACGTGTAACATCTGATGTAAATTTAAAATAATGTTTAATTTTTTGACCGCCCACAGAATTGACTTTTCATAAATAATTTATGAATTTTATAATTTGAAGAATGTGAGAAGATAAATGATACAATAACTATATAAAAAATATTATTAGATGGCAAATTTGGCAAAATTTAAATTAATTGAAGCATGGAGTAGATGTGTAAGGATGATATAAAGAGATTTTCCTAAAAATTATAAATTTTGATAATTATTTTATTTATTATCTACTAGACGATGTTTTGGGACGCCGACCAATCTTCGAGGACAAGATCTATCTCCAGATCCCCAGAGTTAAAACTAAATCCTGAGTTCACTACCTATTGTTTAGAAATAATATAAATCACTGAAAATACCACTACATAACTACAGAACAATGATAGTATATCATTTTAATAGAGCGGAAATGACTAAGCCAAATGGAAAATTAAGTTGATAGATAGACAGAAGTAAACATTTATTTTTGATAAATAGATTAAAGTAAACATTTAGATTAAACAGAATAAGGTGACTATACATACAAGATAGAAAGCAGAGCAAGATAATAAATTTTAATGAAAAAAAGTTTATACATATAAGAATAAGTACAAGTACAAAAGATGTTACAACTGAACAACTGGAAATAATCAGAACTAGATAAATTCCAAAATTATTCATTGGAAAATTGAAGTAATGTAAACACCTCTTCCTTGTGCTTTGTTATCATAAGCTAGGCATCAGACTAAACAAATATGTTTATTTTATATATTTTTTATAAATCTTTTCAAACTTACTTTACTTTCATTTAAGGTTTCAACTAATTCTTCGTCATCTAAGATATTCCCTTCAGAAGCAAATAACATTTTTAGAATTTTATCTTCAATTGCTTTCAATTGTGTTTTATCCTTATTTATACGAACAATCAACTCATTTCTCTGTTTTTCAAGGTCTGGTCTCTCAATACGTACAACATCCCTTGAATGAAAAAGCATAAAGATAATTCCAACAAACCTCAAAAGAAAAATCATAAATTCAACTTTATTTTTACTCAAATTAAACAAACATTATTTGATGATAAATCATAAATATCAATGCAGAGAAAATTAAAATCAAACGGAACAGTCCAGTAAAACTAGGAAAGATTTTTTATTTTATTTTAAAATTTATTTATTGATACAAACATATAATTTTTTCTGATTTACTTACCCAAGCAGTTGATCTTCTAAACCACTTGGAGTGACAGTGAAATTAACTAGTGTAACTTGAATACAAATTTCTGGCAAATAATGAGGATTTGCCAATTTAGTTGTAACATACAACCTAAAGTTTTGGTCATATTCAACATCTGAGTCTCCAAGACGAATCAACCAGCGCCCAGCCTGTCAATTTCAGACATTATAGTTCCTTCAAATAGCTATGTTAATTCACTTATACTGTTTTTATTAAATATATTTATATATTCATTTAAAAATAATATAGGACCTTAGACAAAAACATGTTATTCAGTGCAATGAATATGATATTATTGTCATAAAATATTATGATCAGCTGGTTCTATATTCATTAGCTATTAAGATGTGTATTAATTTTATATCTACGATGTTATTTTCTCATCACCGATGATGACCCACGAAATGTAGGAAATAAAATGGTTGAATTGTAGGCAATAAAATTTCCTAAAAAATGACTGAGTCCTCATTATCCATCACCAATGATATTTAGAACAGTCGATGAACTACTATTAATAATTCAAATAATTTAAATAAAATCATGAACTGATGTGAAAAAAAAAAAACATACAATTATACACACCTGATAAAATACGGATTTAGTCAAAACAGGTCGAAGAGTAGGATCCAATAGCTCTCCAACCTCCCATATAAGCATTGGCAAACCCAACCTGATGCAACTTTCAAGAATCCTCATAAAGTTCGAGTCAGTCATTTTGATCATTTTAAGATTATTGTCTACTTCCATCTGTCGAATCCACCTATTGGCCTATTTATAGGTTTTAATAAAATCTATAAATATTATTTTTTAAAATGCTAACAATAAAATATAAATAATATAAAATATATAGCTATAAAACATAATGGAAATGACAGTGAAAAAAAAAGCTTCTCAATACTTAGCTTCTTATCAACATTAACCTCAAGACAACTTCTAATTTGGTTTTAAAATTATATGATGTTTCAAAGCTCAAGAAAAGAACGTAGTAGGTATTTTATCATCACATTATATCTTGAAAATATTATCATCATAATAAATGTAAAAGCATCCAACTGTTTATTTAGAACTAATATGGAATCTTCATAATTCTAAACTTGTATTACTTTTTTAATATTAATTTTATATATTCAAACATTTAACTATATTGCATAATATCATTTCCACTTACAAGGGGAGGTTATGGATGAGGGGTCACCAATTTTGTGACAATGTTTGGTGATAGTAGATTAAAAAATATTAGACCCATGTCTGAGGGTTCTCGTCAATCCGCACTAGGAGCTAAAAAATCATTAGCTTCAGTTGTATCAAAACACATATTAAGACAGTTGCTGGCAATAAAACTAAGCCCTATTGGGATCAGACTAGGAAACAAACTTACTGTAAGTTGTTCCTAGAAGGAGCCTGTCACAAGAGAAGCCTAACACTTCTTCTAATGGACAGGAGCACCACAAGGTGTGTGGCAGGACTGTATACTGTTCACTGTCGACTCAAAGGGCACATTTTTAACTTGGCTTATGTGAGGATCCCACCTTCAGGTGTGTGGATTAGGGAATGAGACCGCCTATCACATTATATGCAGATGTGATAACTTGGCCGGACTGCGGTACTTTCACTTTGGATGTGATTGTATAACTGACCCCAAGCACTGCGAATTAATAGATCCCATTAACCTTAATAAGTTCACAAAGGCAACTGGATTGTTTTAACAGAGTTTTAGGATGATGCACTATAGGCCTCAATGAGCCCGCGATGCATCCTTGTCGGGTTAAAAAAAAAAATTCTAATAATTTTCGTGTGATTCAGTTGGGTTGTCAAGATTATCACAATTTTCGTGTTAGACGACAAAATTTCATGCAAAAAATTTTGATATGAAAATTTGAAAAACAAATATCAATTTAGTTTCTGCCTAAAAAAAATATTTACTCCCATATTGCTACGTCGGTTTGTCAAATTTGTTTGCATACAAAAGCTATGTAAACAACCTAATAAAGTTAAATGTAAATAATTTGTTTTGGCGGGAATAGGCAAATAGCCTTCCGCTTTTATATCGAAGAAATAGGTTATTTACACTCCTGAATATTAAAACAAAACCCCGGCACTGGAAATAGACTTTTGAGGGTGTTTAACTATTGTTGGGAATTCGGAAATCTAATACCTTTTGTGACACTGAGTGAGAAGAAACAATAAGAATATATATATATATATATATAAAATGTAGGACTTGGTAAACACACTGTGAATGAATTGACTCACCTGGTTTGTTATTCTTCAGTTGTGAGGCATATAGGACAACTAAATAAAATGACTTTTCACTCCTGTATAATAAAACCATTTATTTTACAACTGTAATAACTGAAACTATATAAGTGAACTGTCGGCTTGATATTCTTGGTCTTCAATGTCCTGCTTCTCTCATCTCAGGTAACGTCCGCATGCCTCCATGTCTCAGCCTCAAGTGCTCCTCTCGGCGTCCCTCCTCCAGCTGTTCCCAGCTACCTGCTCTGACCTTTTTCCAGCGTCCTTCTTCATTGATTGTTTATCGATATGAGACTTTTCCATGAATAATTTGTCCACTGCATAATTGAGTACAATTCACAGTGCAACCTTACATTCCCATATATTCCTTCTCATTCCCTCACCCAATTTTTAACCTAGGCTAGACTTTTTGAAATTTTGTTACCAACCAAAAAAACTGATAAATTCAGAACAACTCGACTGAATCACACAAAAAACATCAGGGAATTAGGGCTCTGTATGCTACAAAAAATAGTATAATCTACACCTTCGTAAACAAATTAGAACTAAAGATATAAAATAAAAATGTTTGAGAAGTTTTTCTAAATTTCTAGCATAAAAAGGAATTAAAGCCAAAAAGTATTGATGTGGTTTGGAAAAACAGTAATCCAGCTTCCCAATGGGTGTATGAACGTCGAATTTGTAGAAAATCCTGAGATGCTATTAATGTTTTAGTTAACGGCCGGAAAAACAACCCTTCTAGAAAATCAAGTACTAAAATTTGCAATATTTGATATTTATAAAAATTCATAAATATGAGTTTTAAGGAATAATCACCTTTTGCTTTTTGTTATTTAATATATTTTATATTTTTTTTAATACAATAATTAATATATTTTTCTTATTCTGCACAAAAAAAGAAATCGAATGGTATATATAAATACCCATAAATCCGGACAAAGCATAGGCAAAAATTAATAACATAAATTTCGTATGGAAATATATAATTTTTTTTCTTGGCTCCTAGAGAGGATTGGAAGGAACCACTTGACATGGGCCTAATATCTTTCGATGTAGTATCACCCAAAAAAGTTTCATTGAAATCAGTAATCTCACGTCTGTAACCTCCGCTTGTTAGTTGATAATTTTTTTAACAAAAGATAAAACTACAAAGGTTTATTAAGAATCAAGTTTATAAGTTTATTTTGTTTTTTTATTAATTTTTAATCTTTCCGCTGCTGCGAGTGAAGAGCTTTACGTCTACCAAGGTGCTAAGTAAGACGGCTACATGCCAACTGGTCCGTGCTACATATTTTTCACTCTTCATTACTGGCTCTTACTACTATCTGTTAACCTTATTTTATTGTTTCTGTTCTTCTTTTTGAAACAAGCTTTGCACCGACACTGGCAGAGTTAACACTTTTTTAAAAATATATTTAAATATTTATTTAATAATTTGATTTTGTATGGTATGTATTTGTATAAAAAACAAGAAAAAAAAGACTAAGTTTCAGGTAAAATAATAAATTCTATATGGCCATATAATTAACTTAACTAATCCTATTTGATCTAATTTCTAGCTAAAACAACTAGACTATAAATAACATTTTTATAAACTCAGAGCAGTTGAACATATACGATTGTATTACACAGAACCCCCCAAAAAAGAATGAAAATGGTCGAGACATTCAGAGAAAGGCGGTATCAGTTAGTCAGTCACCCATAACGGTTTATTAATTTTACAAGAAAAGCTCATAAAAATAAATCCCTAATCTATCTGTAGGCTGTAGTTAGAAGCTATATTTCACTAGAAAACCAGTAGAATGTAGCAAAGCTCGGCTACACTCAACATTAGCAAATGGAAATAAAATAAATGGAACGGCTTTAGCACTGAGGTCAGGAGTGCGGTATGGCCGATAGCTGTCATTGGCAACAGGGACACGTTCTGTTGCACTGGCTATATCGTTAGCAGTTAAAGGGTTGATAGCCATTAAAACAGTTCAACAGCCACATTGCAAAACCATGTAAATGAAAACACTAAAATTATTCAAATGACGAAATAAAATGTATAAAAAGCGAAATTTTTTATTTATGAACAGGCTTTTGAGTGGGATAGATGCCGATATGTAGAATGATTGCTTTTAAAAAGAAATATTGATGGAAGTTCAGCTAGTGGTTTAGTTTAAAATTTAAAATAAACTATATTAAACAAGTAAATACAGTTATGCTTACTTGTTCTTGTGGATCAATCATTAAAGGCCATCGGCTAGCTCTAGTAACATAAATACCATTTTCAGTAGAAACTTTATCTCTTGGTAGTCCACATGTATTCCAAATTCGAATTTCATACGGATCAGCAAGAACTTGAATCAAACTAAAAAGTAAAAAATAAATTATGACAACATCAATAATTTGGTTGGAACAGTTCATTAATTTTAAAGCAGATAATCAAACCTAAAGGTAGCCGAGGCAGGTATCTTCAATCTTTTTATCTCTGAAAGCCACAATGAACTTAATTCTTCCCTATAATTATTTGTAAAAGCTCCAAGATATGCCACACATGCAGCAGCCACTAGCACGTCTCCAATCAGATTGTTGAATTCATTAGTTAGACCCTAATAAGACATTTTTTTATTTTTCAATGAGAATATTATAAGAAAATAGGAAAACTTAACTTTAAATGAACTATAAGAGGTAGGATAACGCAACTTATTGACCTAAAAGATATTGTTAGGATCAATGAGTTTCTATCAAAGATACTAATGTTATCAGTAGAAAGAGCACAGTAGATAAAGAATTGTTTCATTGGATCAGGAAAACTATACAAAGATTCTTGAATTGAGACTAAATGATACTAGAATGAAATTAAATTCAATAAAAAACGTCTTAATGTATAATTTTTATTCTCTCCTTGCTACCGTTTTCGGTCTTTCATCATATAAATTTATGATGGTTCTCCTCTTCTGTTTGCGAGATGAGATTTAGATCCTGCCAGATTTACAAACTACCATCTCACTGGTTACAAATACAGACCAAGTATCTGGCAACTTTAGGTTAGATGCCTCTGGACTTTAAAGCTAGTTTTGGTCTGCCCCAGATTTTGTAGCATTTGACTTTGTCAAGCGTAAGCCCAATCCAACACCGAGGAGGTGCCCGATAGGGAACTAGCTAACCTCCACAGACTAGTTAGAAACGAGAAAATTAGCACCTTCTTTAAAGATATTTTTAACAAATGGAAGATGATAGGGTTTAGTATAATACTGCAAAATGCAGCTGAGGATAAAGGAGGAGCAGCAAATAGTAAAAGGTAAAAGAAAAAAAAACAGCAATAAGAAGATTATAGCCTAATAAATGTCACACAATTCAAAGATTGGAAAAATCCTGGAAGTTGTCAAGACGCATGTATGAGAATAGAATGGACGAAAGTTGTTCATGAATAAATGGTTAGGAGCTTTCTATGATAAAAGAATAGGGGAAGAAGGAAAAGAAGAAGAAAGAAAACTTGATCAAACTAACCTTCACACCACTCTCCCATCTTTCTTGTTCATCTGCCAGAGCCGAAGTCAATCTTCCAGCTCTATTCATTCTAGTATTGCAAAGTTCTAATGTGTACTCAAGTTTTGCCTTTTCTTTAAGATTTGCATCATATGTCTCTTCCAGCTTGGCGATTTGAGCTTCAACGTCTGCCAACCGAGCTTGTTTTGCTCGTAAAATGGACATAATAGCATTTAACTCAGTTTCAGCTGCTTGGAGCCTAAAGGTAAAAGAGAGGTTATGTGTGTATCAGATTAGAAAATCAAATAACAGATCAGAATTTTTTTTTCTGAATAACATTTAATAATTTCAAAATGATTGCAGTTATGTATTACGGTTAAAGAAATAAAGGGAATAAATAAAAGGAATTTTTTTTAGGATATTAAACGTATTAGATAACAGTACCGTTTCGACGATTTTATTAAATTTTAAGGACTTTCTTCAACTTTTAAATGATTGAACAACAAAATCTCGGTTTTTTAAAATTGTCTGTACATATCGTAACTTCCTATTCTTAAGCCCCACCATTATTTTTCATTCAGGTTATTACATATTTTATTAAGAAAAACTTTTTATTTGACACTTAATGATTTTCTTTCAGAAGCCATGCTCAGAAGAAGAGAGACAAAGTTATACTGAATATAAAATGCAAAATTTCATTTTATATAAGAAAAATATTAAAACAATTTTTTTTGTCATCTAATTATTACCTATTCATATGATTATTATAAAAAAATAAGGGCTATTTTTGATAACAATTACACACAACAGGAAATGGTTCTGGGCTCTTGGGACTATCAGTTGAAAGCCACTTCAACTCATAATATGAACCTTGAAGAAGACCTATAATGTGGGTTGAAATTTTGAGATTTAATAAACAGCAAGCAATTATTTGATCTTTCTTATCAACATCAGGACTATCTCCTTTTTATATATAGAAATTTTGTCTTATATACTCTGACCATTTCTGTTTAATAAAAATTCAAGGTTTCTGAAAAAAAGGACAATTACAAAAGCTTTTCAATACACAGATAAATTTAATCTCATTGAATTCAACTATAAATTTCATCATTATTATCTATATTTAAAAAGACCCACCTCCCCCTCAAACTTACAGCTTGGGGTGATTTAGATTAATAAAATGTTATGGATAAAAAAGTATGAGCTTCAGTAACAGGCAATGAATTGTTTTTAAGTGATGCCAATACTGGAATTTTATAAAGAATAAAAATAAAATCATAAAAAAATTATTATAATTAAATTTTCATAGCAAAGTTTAATGAAGTCCAATGCAACAATATTCACCCAGCCAAAAAAAAAAGAATATAATTTTTTTTTATATAACAAAAACAAATGAATAATAACTACATAAAAATGTATTTTGGATTAATAATGAAAAAATAAACAACTGAGGCAGTAACATTCCTGAAAATACATTTCACAAAACCATAATGGTGCAAGAGTCAGTTAATTGAACCTGCAACTTGGTAACATATAAAATATAATGGCAATGAATCTTGACTATTGATATTTTTTCTTACAGTCATAGAGATTGTTGCAATCTAAAGCAATAATGTACTAAATCTAATGGTACAAACTGAGCCCAGCACATATGTCATACAAATCAATGCAACATATATTATTAATAAGCTAGTATGACAATTTCGTACAAGCCTATGATGAATATTGCAAATTGAAACAGTGAATCTTTTGATAATGAACTGACTATTAAGACTAAATTCAAAAACAGTCCAATAGATTACCATACATAAAAAGAGTAATACCAGTTGAACAATTTTTTATTGTGTCAGTACTGCTAGAAAACTATTTCTGTTAAGCTGACTGGTAGGAGGTATGAAGTCCATAATTTGAAAAATCCTGAGGTAAAAACCAAATTCCAACTTGAGCTGAAAAATAAATTCGAACCAATGGATTCAGATAGCCTCATGGTGGACTAACACTGGAAGGAAATAGAGAAAGGACTGAACAGAAAGAAACAGCTAAGGAAGTGATCGGTATTCAGGAGAAACGAAAAGCTAAGATATGGTTCACAGAAGATTGAGAAAAGGCAGTAGAAGAAAGAACAAAAATAAAAGTACTCTGCCAAACTACAACTGATCAAGTTGCTCAGGACAAGTACACAGCTGCCAAGAAAAAGGCAAACAAAACTATAAGATCGGCAAAAATGGAATTCCTCAAAGAAAGATTGCAAACCATTGAGGACAACTGGCAGGCTGGAGATATACGCGAATTCTATGCAGACATTAGGAAAGAAAGGGTAGGATGTAAAGAGAAAAATATGCAAATGCGAGGAAAAGATGGGATTCTGACGGCATATAAAGAAAGTATATTGAATATCTGGAAAGAACATTTCCAGAAACTTCTCAATCAAGGAGACTTCACGAACGAATAAGAAGGAAGTGGACCACACTGAAGATTTGACCCAGAAGAGGTTAAAAAACCAGATATACTGGATGTAGAAATAGCTATCAAAAGATTCAACACAAGAAAGACCCCAGGGATAGACAACATACCATCAGAACTGTTGTAAAGATGGAGGAGACGACTTAAGAGCCAAGCTACTACAACTAATCCAGAAAATATGGGAAGAGGAAAGGATACCTGAGGTTTGGAATACGGGCCTAATCTGACATTTCCTAAAGAAAGGCTCCATTTATAAGTATAGTATTTACAAAGGCATAGCACTCCTTCCGGTTGTCTACAAGATAATAACCAATATCCTACTAAACTGGATTCAGAAAAGGAAGAACCAGATCTTCATCCTAAAACGAGTACTTGAAAATCGATGGGAAGTAGCTCAGGACGTCCAAGCTCTATTTGTCGATTTCAAAGCAGCCTATGATTCTGTGGACAGGGGCTGGCTTTGGGAAATCATGACTGAAATGGAAATTCCTGGTAAGTTGGTGAGATTGACAAAGGCGTGCACAAATGACAGCAAATGTAGAGTCCTAATACATATGGACTATCACCGATGTTGTACGACTTAGCCCTACAGAAGGTAATAAGAGCAAAATCACAGGAAAATGGAGGGGTCCACGTTGGAATGAATTATAAAATCCTTGGATACGCAGATAATACAGCTGTCCTTGGAAGTAATCAAGAAGACATTGAGAAACTCACTATAACACTGATAAGAGAGGCAGAGCAAATCGTCCTACAAGTAGATGAAAAAACAAAACAAAATATATGATAATAAGCCGAAAATTCCAACCCAATATCAGAATCTGCGTAGAAGAAAAATCATTCCCGATAGCCAAAAAATTCAAATACCTTGGCTCCACAATAACCTCAATGAATGACCAATGGGCAGAAATAGACCAGCATGTAACTAGAGCAAACAGAGCTTTCTTCTCACTCTCTAAGGTATTGAAATCCCGAAAAATCTCAAACACGGTGTACAACGCTATGATAACGCCAGTTCTATCTAATATATGGCTGTGAGACCTTGAAACTAACCAGCACCCTAGAAAAAAGTGTTGAAAGATTTGAGGGGAAAATCCTCTTCACGATATCCAGAGCGATTTGGAATCAGAGTACTAACACAAGGAGAAGAAAGACCAATAAGGAATTGCTTACAGAAACTGATCAATTAATATCCCATGATATGAAGGCACGGAGGTAAAGATGGGTGGGGCATGTAGCTTGTAGCAATCCATCTAGAAGCCTCTACGTAACAATGAATGCCTCAATAGAAGGCAAAAGACCATGTGGAAGGACAAAAAGCAGATGGATAGATAGAATCAATAAAGATGCAACATAGCTGCATGCAGATAAATGGAAAGAAATAGCCCAAGAAAGGCAGAAGTGGAGCAGGCTTGTTAAGATGGCAAAAGATCTACATGGTCTGTAATGCTAACAGAAAAAAAACGAAAAAAAAACCTACTGGTATACTTCTAATTTTTCTTCTCAACTGATTGAATATTTTCCTCAAACAGGTTTTTAATTCTCTTCATTTATTTATATCTTCTTTTATTAAACAAAGGATTTTAACAAACAGAATCCTACAATAATTTTCTTGGATCAAAATGTCGGCAAGCAGAATAAAACAAATCTAGATTGCATATCCTATCTATTCAATCTAAAAATAAAAAATCTGGTGTTTCAACTCACACGACCTTCCTACCTATTTCAGAAAAGTTTTTATATCTTTAAATATGTCCATTAAGAAACCCCAAAAATTAATTTGATTTATTTTCCTAAAAATTGATCAAAGAAAAGATTTGAGTACGATTTCTTTGATAAACTAAAGCACTAATATAGCCGGCTTATGGAAGATCATAGTAAAATACACTCCTATAATGCTAATCAAAAACTTTTTACTATAGCCCAATTTTGTCAGATAATAATTCATGTTAAAAGTAGAGGAAATAGTAAAACTTATGTGATGCGGGTACTAGATTTTTTTACTTTTCTATTTTCTCTCCCCTTTCTGGTACTAGGGTTTGAACTCATAGCAACAAAATAGTTTTAATAGTTCCCGACCAACGATCTTGGCACAAACCATTGGCTCAAAATGTGTTTTTTGGACTCAGGGGGCTCTGAAACATACAGATCTGTCAAAAACCGCACATTGGAAATTTGACCCAATCGTAATACTTTCCTTATCTAGTATAGGTAGAAAAGTTAAAAAAAAAAGAAAAAAAATACAATCAACAAAAATATCTATCTCTGAAATATTAAATTGTTAATTTTTTTCATAGCAGAGTAAAAATTAGTAGGACAGCCTCATTGAATTCAAAACCCTAATTAAATCCAATCAAAATGCAGCTTTCCAATAGCTAAAAATCTTTATTAAGTCCCTAAATGATGCGATGCTGCCTTGCAATATCAATTGGTACATAGAGGTAATAGGAAACCTGTGGGTAAGTATAATTACACTCACAACAGTTTCATATTCAACCCAAACTTATTAAATATATGAATGATAATAATACGTTTTAAGCTAAAAATTTTAATGTCAAACTAATTCACTGTTAATCTATCTTACTTTTTTCTTTTTGGTTCAACGATCCTATATATTTTAGCATATTTGTCAATAGCTCTGACCCACAAGCACAGAGATTTGCATGCTTTGGAAGTTGAAGCAACTAAATCAGGGACGAATTGAGGATCTTCAATGTACTTTTTGAGTTTTTTCAACAGAACATCAGGAATGTTATCTTTGTCATATTCTTGAAGTCTCCTCAAAAAGTTACCGTCTCCTAAGACTACTTTGGCTGACGCCCAGTCTTGCCTGAAAATAATAAATAGCCATGAAGTAAAATAAATTGTAAATATTTAATTAATAATAATAATATATTGTATAAGAGATGATTAATTTCAAAACCTATTTGATAAATTTTCAAAATTTTTGCATAATTTTGTTTTAAGAGTTTAGACTTGGCCGGAATGAGGCCCAGACAACCAGAAACATCAATCAAGTCTGGGGCGAGAGCAGAATTAATGAGTGCACTGTTCAACAGCGGTTCTAAAAATTTTTGGGGGGGAGAGGAGGACTTCCGACTTGAAAAAAAAAGATCGTGGAAGGTCTTCCTCTCTTCATGAAAATGTTCTGTAGGTAGAATAAAACCCCAGAAACTGTTTGAGAACTTGCATGGAAACTTAGCCTAAGCAAATCAGTCGAATACCACCTCAAGGCGATTTGAAGGGGAAAAAGCTTGAAAGTTGGGTTCCACACACATTAAATGACCGTTACATAAACCAGCGTTATGAAGTTTGTGCTACACTTCTTTGCCGAAACAAAAACGACTCATTTCTGTCCAGAATTGATACTTATGATGAAAATTGGATACTTTACAATAACAGTAGAGGTTCTGGACAGTGGCTCAACAAAGGAGAAGCGGCAGAACATTTTCCAAAGCTCCCAACTCATCAAAAAATGTGATGGTTACAGTTTGGTGGGCTGCGTTTGGTTAGATGCACTACAGCTTCTTAAACCCTGGAGAAACCACCAATGCCGAATCGTATTTCAATTAATGTAATTCATCAGAAATTGGCAATAATGAAGCCATCGTTGGTCAATTGGAAGAACCCCATTTCGTCGTATGACAAAGTCCAACCAAATGTTTCATGTGTGATGTCACAAAAACTGTTGGAGCTTGGATATGAAATTCTGCCACATCTGCCCTACTCTTTGGACCTCTTGCCTACAAATTTTCATTTTTTTAGACACCTGGACCACTACTTACGTGACAAAAAATTTAATGGACAAAGGGAATTAGAAAATGCGTTTTTGGAGTTTATCAATTCTAAATATGAGAAATTCTATTCCAAGGGAATGGAAAAGTTGCCGACATGTTGGCAGAAATGTATTAAGAGTGGTGGAGACTATTTTGATTAAACAAAACAGTTGAAAATCTTTCTTTTTAAACCAAAATCCTGCATTATTTTCCGGACAACCCTATATGTATATTGACTTTTTGTAATGTAAATACTGACAGAATTTTGGTTGTTATTTTGGCCAATATTGCATTTTTATATTTGTAAACATGTTCTTAATCTTAAGGGAACTAGTCCCAGAATAAATTTCTTTTCTATTCTATTTTACAAATTTCAGCATTTGTTTGCTTATATGCTAAAAAGTAGTATTTCTGAATATCTCTATGATGTCACTTTTTCTATCTGGCACTGAAAAACAAACCGCTTCTTGCCATCAGCTACAGTTTGGTTCATCATAATGACCATGCTAGAAAATATTTTGCAGCAATAAAGTAAATGCCCAATAAACAGGTTTTAATCAGAATAGTTAGTTAATAATTCAAAGTGTTCTATATGTAAATTGTGGCATTTAGCTATCTTTCCAACTTTGAACCTTGTTAGCAAAACTATTAATGATTGCTATATTTAACCCCTCACTTTGGGTTGTTGGAAATAGACATTTTTGGGTCCAATTCAATTTCTGCTTTTTTTTTTGGCACATAGCTGTTAATGATAAACAGTATTCATATTCAAAATTAAATATTTGTGACATCAATTATATTCTTCACATGTGGTATTCAGATACATAATCAACAAATATGTTGAGACAACTAGAAAGCAGTAAGTTCGCTACAACTAAAAATCATGCATACTTAGTTCCGAGCAGTAAACATACAGCTTCCATTACAAACTTCACCAGATAAGGTGGCTTTATGAAAACACGGACCTCAGTGATATCATTTTTATTTAATGCTTCAAGAGCTTTTACAGCCGCGTCCATTGCTGGAAGGGCTAGGTCTAAATCAGCTTGAGCATCATCTTTTAACAATTGGCACTCCCCTGCTTTTTCCTGACAAAATAAAATTAGTATCATTAAAAAAAGTTATTTAAATTACAGATAATCATAAAAAAAGGATTTAATTTAACAATATGAGTTTTCGATGTATTAATAACTACATCAAGAACAAAACATAGAAATACTGCATTAATTTTTCTCAATTTAAATGTTATAAAATTATGTTATAAAAATGGAGGTACTGTGTAAGTACTACGAAACAATTCAATCACTAATCTTATACAATCATAATACAAATCACCAAATCTTTAAAATCACAAGACCAATAAACTTGGAACTCACCGTGATTTTTGATCATTTATAACTGTATTATGACCAAAAAATGTAAATATATTTTTCCAAAGATACTTAACAAAGACTGAGCTAAGTAGATCGCTTTGCAAGAAATTAAGATTAAAGCTTTGAAAGAAAGTTTGGACAGAACTGCTACATCCGGGATGTCTAAAAGAGTTTATCAATCAAATTTTCTGAGTTATACTTATCTCTATCTTCACTGTCTTTATATATATGACTATGGTATGGTTTTATGTGGTTTAACGGAATTTATAAATCTAAATAAATAAAAAAGTAAATGTTCGTTAGTACATAACCAATAATCTCCAAAAGTTCTTCACTGATTGCTTAGAAATTTTGACAAAATGTTTCTATCAGATTCAGGAGAGATTTACATACATTTAATCACCCTCCGGTCTTTCGTTTTGGAAAGGCAGCCAAAAAATGTGCATTGCTATAGCCTGTAGCACCTAAACGGCTGAAATGATTTTAATGAAACTTGGCTAAAGTCTTCTCCTTGAAGCCCTTTTAATTTATTTATATAAAATGCTTCTCTGAAAAGAGCATGAAAAAAAAGTTCTAAAAAAAATATTCAGAACTATATTTGTGAATAATTCAAAAAGTACACAATTTTTGTTTGATTACACCGACGATTATTTGAAAGCTTCCTGAATCCCATACAAAATAAAAAAAAATCATTGAAATTGGACTTTATTAGTGCAGAGACATAGCGTTTTAAATATTTAGTAACTTTTCTTCTGCAAAGATGATTTCATCTATCTTAGATTTCGATTAATCAAAAACTTTACATTTAGAATAGCAAAATAACTTTATTATGGGACACAGTCTCTTGAGAATAACAAAACAGAACAAAATTAAAATATTACATCTGGCCAAAATAAAATCAATCGAAAAAAAGAAATAATGTAAAAAAAATATAAGGTAAAAATTCTATATACAAAACAAACTAAACTATATACAAAACCATTAATACAAGGACAAGACACTTAAAGCTATTTGCACTTATAGACCAGTATACACTTTTACGAAAATAATAAAGAATTTTTTTTTTTTTATTTGTTTATTTAGACATACAACATTCTGTCACAGGGACAATAATTATATTGATAAATGAGCACATTCACACCGTATATACCATTAAAAAAAAAATTAACAAAGTAAAACAATAACTAAATAATAATAAATAAAAACTATATACAATAAAAAAACCTAAATATAAGTAAATTAAAAACATAAAAATACAATCATACCTATATACAATATAATAAAAAAATAAAGAATTAAAAAAAAAACGTATCAAATTCTCTATTAAAATCAGCTCGAATGGTTAGCAACTATCTGACTGTTTTTGGGATGGGAATTGGAATAGGAGGGTTTTGAATGTGGATATGGATGGGGAATGTCGAATTTTGATAGGGAGGGAATTCCAGAAATTGACAGAGCGAACAATAAAGGAATTTTGGAATGAGGCAGATCTGTGAGAAGGCATGTAAAGGTTAGAAGGTCGAGATCTTGTGGACAGGGAATGGACTGAGGATTTGAACTGGAGAAGGTTGTAGGCGTAAGAAGGACGATGGTTGTTGTTGATTTGGTAGAGGAACGTACCTAGGAAATATTGTCTTCGGAAGGAGGGGAAAAGCCACTTTAACTCAGCGTAGTGGTGAGAACCATGGGAGTATCTTGGGGCCCCGATCACAAATCTTACGCAGCTGTTCATTAGTCTTTTCAGTCTATCATGGAGCTCCACAGAGAGGCCATCATACACCACACAGCTATAGTCAAAGTGGGGGAAAATGAGAGAGGAAACTAGGAGTCTACGCATATGTTGAGGTAGGAGATGGCAGAAGCGATGGAATAGTTTGAGGGTGGAAATTGTCCGTAAAGAGATATGAGAAATATGGTGATTCCAAAAGAGGTTTTGATCAATGAAAAATCCTAAATTTTTAACAGAGGAGTAGAAGGAGATTGGCTGATCATTAAGGTGAAGGATGGGAAAGTCTGTCTAGAATCTAAGGAGGGGCTTGGAACCAATGACAATGGCCTGAATTTTGGCAGCATTTATCCTTAATCGCACGCCGGATCCTTGTTTGTGTCAAGTTGCGAAGCACCCTGAACGCTTGGTAGTCATCTGCAAGCCTAGTACGTCTGAAGCGTCTACGAGCAGCGTCGCGCCTCTTCTGCAGGTCTTTAATTTCCTGACACATCCAAGGAGCAGGCCGGTGACGAAATGTAGAGGTTTTGAGAGGGGCATGGGTATTGAGGATATTTAGGAGATTGGTAGTAAGAATATCAACCATAGAGTCGATGGAAGTGCAAGAATATATTTTATTCCAATCTAGGATTTCCAGGTCAGGTAATATTTGTTCTCGTGTAAGGGAATGTAGATGGCGGAAGGTGATAGTTCGAGGCTGAATAGGAGGAGTTTGGATATTATATATTATTTGTATCAGATCATGAGATGACAAAAAGGATACTGGCAGTTGGGAAGAGGAGAGGAGGTTTTATGCAGAGTCTATAATATAGAAATCTAGCCAAGTGTCGGACCTGCTAGTATGGTGAGTGGGAGAAAAAGGAACGATAAAGAGGTGAAGGGAGAAGAATAGGTCTTCTAGATAGGATTTGTCATTGGAGTTAGATAGGAGATTGGTATTGAGGTCACCTGAGATGATTATTCTGGGATAGAAGCGAACAAAATTCAATAGGCTAGATTCAAAGGACGTGTGAAATGGAACAAGAGGAGGACGATATACCACAGCGTAGAGGAGAGGAGAAGTATTACAAAGGATTTCAACTAATAGGTATTCAATTTGTGGGTGGTTGGAAGATGGGGATAAATCGAGGATTCGGGTCTTCAGGCTTACCCGGTCATGACGGAAGAGATTGTAATTAGGCAAGGAGACAGAAGAGGAGGGGATATAAGGTTTGAGCCAAGTTTCGGAGATCGCTATAATAAGGTAAAAATTTTGAGTGAAATATTGCAGGAATTCGTCATAGTGAGCGGGGAGGGATTGAGAGTTAACATGGCAGGTGATTAGGGTACTAGACATGAGAAGGATTTGAAAGGAAACAGTCAGAGTTCGGTAGAGAAACACTAAAACAAACAAAAAATACAGAAAAGCAATTACAATTAATGAAAATGAGAAAAAGAAAGTGTTTAAAGAAACAAAAAATAGAAAGCATATATTTAATAATACATAGGGTAATATGTGAAAATGAAGAAATACAACTGAAAGCGAAAATCTTTCTTTGAAGGAAATTTTGTCAATAGTTATTTTGATAAGGATGAAGGGTAGACGAATTCTGTTTAGTCAGGTAAATATATCGAGTTCCGAGGCCTGTTCGATGAAGATAACCTTATGTCCGTCTTCTTTTCGACATCGCACCTTTCCAGCGGCAAACTAGCAATATTTGATTTTTCCCGCTGCTTTCTTCTGTCGGGCAAGCCAGTATAAGTGCCTGTTCGTGTGAGTCATCTCCTCTCCCAGATGTATCCGGCGGCAGTCATTCTCCTGCCAACCGATATCCCGAGTGAAGAAATCCCTCTTGACTTTTCTTTTCGATATTAAATCGTCTCTGACTGATTGCCTTACAAATCGCACGATGACAGGCGGTGGTCGTGGATCATCTTTCCTGCTTCTGCGGCGATGGACCATATCCAGGTCTTCTGCACTAAGCCTGACTCCCAGGCTGGTCAACAGGGCGGCGGGCGTTTCACTAGCTCGTTCCGGTATCCCTCGGATCTCCAGTGATCTGGATAACAGGCTCTGCTCTTCATTATTCAGGAGAACTTCTAGTTCGCCCACTCAGGATTTGAGGGCTTTATTTTCCAGAATAATTTCTTCGAATTTACTGGCTTGACTTTCGAGGTGTTTTTCAATTTTTGCTAATCTTTCATTTACCTCAAAACTGAGCTCCCCATATTTATCAAGGGCTGTTTTAATGTTTTTTTACGTCTTCGTTCACGCTTGAATCTAGACGATTTACTGCCGCCAGTATTTCTGAGGCAGACGGCTCGGTTTTGGGTTTTTTGGTTTGGTCGCAATTAGGGCATACCCATGTTTTTTTGTGTGTTTTTAGTGCTTCGATGTCTTTATCAGATAAGTTGAAACACCTACTATGGTAAATAATTTTACATTTTGCACAGTTAATATTGTTTTTGTCCTCGCGTGCAATAGTATTATTGCAAATATTAAACTGCACCATATTTTATGAGAAGTAAATAAATTAAAATATAAATAAATACCGCTAGACAGTTGTTGATGTGATGAAAGCAGTAAACAGCGTGTCTAATGCCGTAAGGATTAGTAGAAGATAACAGTCTCGTACTTCTAGGAAATCAGTTAGAGTTATGCACTTTTTTACGTGAATATACGTCACTTGAATCAGTGAACACTAATAATGCTCTAGAATAATAATAAAAAAAAAAACTGAACTCAAGATGAACTGTAGTGAAGATAAAAATAAAGAAAAACTGTGGTATAAGAGAATTATAGCGATGTTCATAGGTAGCTTTCTCTGGCCAGACTAGCCATTTACACAAGTAATTGAAATTATTATTTGAAG